TTTGATATACTCTTGTTATTGTTTTTCCACGTTTCATGCACTCACATTGTTTTCAGTGTTTTCTGTGATTGATGTAACCAGTGGTTAAGTGTTTAAACAGTTACATGATGTCCGAAAACCTGTTCTTTAATATTTAATCTTAAATTACTTAAAATAAGAATCATAACTAAATGAAGTGGGTCTATTTCACAGTGGCACAGATCAGAGCTCCAGACAAGTTGAGATGTATTGTGTAATCTAATACCTGCATGTCACTGTGACCTGTCAATGTAGCATCACTGCAAGGACAGAGCGAGAGAATAGGGAATAACAGGCTGAGAGGGAGAAGGAAGTGGGAATAATAGTGTGAGAGGGAGAGAAAATAGGGAATAACAGGCTGAGAGGGAGAGAAAATAGGGAATAACAGACTTAGAGGGAGTCTCAGGGAAGAGGGAATAACAATCTGAGAGGGAATAACAGGCTGAGGGAAAGTAGGAGTAGGGAATAATGGGCTGAAAGGGAGAAGGGATAAGGAAAAACAGGCTGAGGAGAGGGAATAGGATATAAAGGGCTGAAAGGGCTGAAAGGGAATAGGATACAAAGGGCTGAAAGGGAATAGGATATAAAGGGCTGAAAGGGAACAGGATATAAAGGGCTGACAGGGAATAGGATATAAAGGGCTGACAGGGAATAGGATATAAAGGGCTGACAGGGAATAGGATATAAAGGGCTGAAAAGGTAATAAGATATAAAGGGCTGAAAGGGAGAAGGGATAAGGAGAAACAGGCTGAGAGGGAGAGGGGATAGGATATAAAGGGCTGACGGGGAATAGGATATAAAGGGCTGACAGGGAACAGGACATAAAGGGCTGACAGGGAACAGGATATAAAGGGCTGACAGGGAACAGGATATAAAGGGCTGACAGGGAACAGGATATAAAGGGCTGACAGGGAATAGGATATAAAGGGCTGACAGGGAACAGGATATAAAGGGCTGACAGGGAACAGGATATAAAGGGCTGACAGGGAACAGGATATAAAGGGCTGACAGGGAACAGGATATAAACAGGGAACAGGATATAAAGGGCTGACAGGGAATAGGATATAAAAAGACAGGCTGACAGGATATATATAAAAAAGGCTGACAGGAATAGAATATAAAGGGCTGAAAAGGTAATAGGATATAAAGGGCTGAAAGGAGAAGGGAGAAGGAGAAACAGGCTGAGAGGAGAACAGGCTGAGAGGGAGACAGGGAATAGGATATAAAAGGGCTGAAAGGGAGAAGGAAAACAGGCTGAGGAGAGGGAATAGGATATAAAGGGCTGACAGGGAATAGGATATAAAGGGCTGAAAGGGAGAAGGGAGAAGGAGAAACAGGCTGAGGAGAGGGAATAGGATATAAAGGGCTGACAGGGAATAGGATATAAAGGGCTGAAAGGGAGAAGGGAGAAGGAAAAAGAGGCTGAGAAAGAGGCTAGGATATAAAGGAGAGGGAATAGGATATAAAGGGCTGACAGGGAGTAGGATATAAAGGGCTGACAGGGAATAGGAAATCACAGACCAATAGTGCTAGTATTCAATAAGCAGGCATGTTACTAATGCAGGGATAAGTGTTGATAATGTATGAAAGAAATTTGATGGGTTTGAATAACCCAATGTGGAGGAGCAGTAAGCTGTTTTGTGACGTGGGCTGGAGACAAGGCCTTGTCTATTTTTGGAAATGCCACACAGCACTTAATCTTTACTGTAATCTTATTATTGTGACATTGATGGAATTATATTTGTTTTGATCGTCCAAGTAAATATTTCGTGACCCTGAACTGCCATCCATTTTGTATCCAAGTTGACCAGATATGGGATTTCTATCAGCTAGGAGATAATGCAAATTCATATACTTGAATATTAGCAGTGATCTTCTATATGTGAGTTTATATATGAAATCTTCCAAAGTCGACTTAATCTGCTCGTCCAGCATGCTCAACACTGGTTGTGTCTTTGGCAACCAATGGTGATGCCATCCAAGTTGGTTTTAGTTAGGACTCTCTACAGAATACATCGCTGTCCCAGAGTCTGTAGAAATACCCTCGGTCCAACATAATCTCCACAACACACAATACAGTGTCGACTGAAGAAAAAGTGGAAGGTGATGTTGTTCCAGTTAAGATAATCTTGCATCCTTTTAATCTGTACAAGCAGCTAGTACAGGGGCACAGTGAATACACAATGTCTTGGGTAACACATTCGTAATGGGACTCCATGCCACTAAACATATTAGAAGTTGTACTTCACTAAGAAAGAGTCATCCCAAATATAACATTTGTGACAAAGGCACTGATAAGTCATAATGCATTTTAAGGATGAGTCTCTTTTCAAGTGCAGTGACACATGCTTCGTGATAGCTGCTAGAACATGTGCATTTGAAGGTGCAGCTGACCACGTGACACGCCTTCGCCTTCTGTAAATACTCCCTGCTTTTGCAAGAAAGTTAAATGTTAAGCGTTTGGGTTACATACTATTTAGAAAGCTATCGACTTATTCATACTAATAGTGAAATTCATGAAATAGAATTTAGTACCTAAACTAAACAGAATCTTTCTAAGATAAATCACTGCTTCTGTGTTCAGGTATACGAGTTCTGAGTCAATCAGGTGTCAGCAATCACTCGGTGTCAGAGTAGTCGGAGACAGGGTTTCATTTACTGGTTTGCCTCGTCCAGACTCGCTTATAGACCTGTTAAAGATTGTGTTTTGTCACAAACCCAGAAACATAACTGGGTCAAATCTTGGATTCAAACCAACTTTCACAGGTTTCACACTTTCGCGAATTGTGATGACTTGGTTTGGATTGTCCTGAAGGAACAAACAGAAACAGCTACCGGGAGCATATTGCCCATAAAAACCCATTCACTCGGAGATATAAGGTTATATTACATGCTCTTGACTGCCCTCTTGACTGGAGGGGTGCAGCCTAGCAGACACTTATCACATGTTACTCACTCACTCACTCACTCACTCACTCACTCACTCACTCACTCACTCACTCACTCACTCACTCACTCACTCACTCACTCACTCACTCACTCACTCACTCACTCACTCACTCACTCACTCACTCACTCACTCACTCACTCCTAAGCCACTAATGAAAGTCTGACACAACACAATTGTCAAAGACCTGTACAATGACATTTGGAGAAATGGTAACGTAGGGAGACTGGATCCCTGTTCACATATCATGTGGGCAGAGACATAGATTGTGTACAACATTGACAGCAGTGTTGAGAGAGTCTGCCAAATGGCATAAGTTACTGTGCCTATAAATGGAGATGTGGAACCACCAGTTAAGACCCAGGAGAGATAGATGGCTGTAGTATTCTTGCATCATGGCCACCCACTCCTCAACAAGCCAGGTCAGTAGAGCAGAGCATGAAGTGGGTGTAGCTGGGGCTGTGTGTTGTTGCTGAAGCTGCTGGTTCACTGGGTCAGGTGACAGCATGACATACCTTGCCGCAGTGACCAGACCGCACTCATCTGGACATATGTAATGAGAATACGTAGTGCCTGGATGGCACAGATATGATTAGATATTGGCTGGGGCATGTTTGATCCAATATTGGCTGGTTGGGACATATTTGATCCGGTCCTGGCTGAATGGGGCATGTTTGATCCAATATTGGCTGGTTGGGACATGTTTGATCCAAAAATATCTGGATGGGACATGCTTGATCCAGTACTAGCTGGTTGGGACATGTTTGATTCAACATTGGCTGATATGACATATTTGATCCAATAATGGCTGAATGGGGCATATTTGATCCAATGCTGGCTGGATGAGGTATATTTGGTCCAATACTGGCTGGATGAGGTATATTTGATCCAGTACTGGCTGGATGAGGCATATTTGGTCCAATATTGGCTGGATGAGGTATATTTGATCCAGTACTGGCTGGATGAGGCATATTTGATCTAATACTGGCTGGGTGAGGCATGTTTGATCCTATAATGACTGGATGGGAATGTTTGACCCTATTGGCTGGATGGGGCATGTTTGATCAAATAATGGCTGGATGCTACAGGCAGTATGAAGTTGTGTCTTCTGCGACATGAGTGATCACATGTTGGCTGTTTGGGTCATATTTAATAACTATAGGGTGAAATACTGAAAACAAATTGTCTGGTTAAGACATGAGTGATTAGATATCTGCCTAATGGAACAATTGCATTATCAAATACTGGCAGTTTGTTCGAAATGTGATCAACTGTTGTCTGTTTGGGATGTAAAATATTAAATATTGGCTGGGAGGAAATACTGGATCATACTATGGCTCGTAGTACATGACATGACAAATCAAGTTTCAGCTGGTTGGGACATGAATTATAGAAAATTGACTGGTTGTGATTAGGGCTGCGCAATATAACCGGTTTACCAGTTCAGACATGAAAACGATACGTATTGCGATACGCTGATCGAAAACTGGTATTTTGACATGCAATCGGAAAACTTCGTTACACTCGAAAATCTTTGGATATTTTCATTTTAAAATTGTTCCCTTCCTTGTTTCATTTGTGCCAAACATTATTTACATTTTTATTTTGTCATGATTAAAAGTTTTTATTAAAGCCTAATCAAGCGTTGTGTTTTTGCTTTATAAATCAAGCATTAACTTGACTCTAAGTAGTTTGTTGTTAAAAAAAACTTCTTGCAATATATTGCAATACATATCGCAATACATGCTTTCATATCGCAATATATCGCAATATGAAAATTCCCTGCAATAGCCACCCCTAGTTGTGATATTCATGATCAAAGGGTGGACAAAAGCATATTTCATCAAGTGTTGCAGACATGATGATTGTGAAACATTGACTGCTGGGACTGGAGCAATTAAGTGCTTTATAAAACAATCCTGGATGTGGTATTTTCCTTGCCCAAATTCCCACCTCTGCACTGCGTAACTTAATGTAGAATTTGTTTAGACCGACGTGTTAGTTTGATGTTTGATGATTCTTTCTTCCTTTTCAGGCATGGGTTTGGTGATTGTCGACGGCCACTTCATGAAACTGCGGTTCTTGTTGAAGAAATCGTGCATGCTCAGATAGCATCCCTTGTGAGTAGATGAATATATCACAGAATCAGGAGGCCATGACATGTGACCTTATATGTTACAGGAAACCATTGTCATAACTACCTTAATATCTTATTTGAAAATATACATGCTTCAAGAAAGTAGAGAATCCTGAAATATCAATGTTAATAACAAGTATTAGCAGGGGATGTGTTGATAACTAACATCCTACACAAGAATGTTTCCGTCAGAGAAAAATGTATTCCCAGAAGATACCCTCTAGTTTGCATGTGTGTCTTTCCTGATTTTGACACTCTTGTGGAAGTTTGATCTATCTCTGTGGACCATTTCATTTTCATATGTGCAGCCGCTTCAGCCTATTGGCAAACTGCAGCAAACTGTCGTGGATGTCATTCTGCAGTGGCTGTTGTGTTCCATGTTTCACATCGCACTATGGTACACGCACCAACAAGAGATGATTGTCCCACATTCACATGTCTCAGGTCAATGACACTAGTGCACGCACCAACAATAGATGACTGTCCCACATTCACACGTCTCAGGTCAATGACACTAGTGCTGGCACCAACAAGAGATGACTGTCCCACATTCACATGTCTCAGATCAATGACACTAGTGCTGGCACCAACAAGGGATGATTGTCCCACATTCACATGTCTCAGGTCAATGACACTAGTGCAGGCACGAACAAGAGATGACTGTCCCACATTCACATGTCTCAGATCAATGACACTAGTGCAGGCACCAACAAGAGATGACTGTCCCACATTCACATGACTCAGGTCAATGACACTAGTGCAGGCACCAACAAGAGATGATTGTCCCACATTCACATGTCTCAGGTCAATGACACTAGTGCTGGCACCAACAAGAGATGACTGTCCCACATTCACATGTCTCAGGTCAATGACACTAGTGCTGGCACCAACAAGAGATGATTGTCCCACATTCACATGTCTCAGGTCAATGACACTAGTGCAGGCACCAACAAGAGATGATTGTCCCACATTCACATGTCTCAGATCAATGACACTAGTGCTGGCACCAACAAGAGATGACTGTCCCACATTCACATGTCTCAGGTCAATGACACTAGTGCTGGCACCAACAAGAGATGACTGTCCCACATTCACATGTCTCAGGTCAATGACACTAGTGCAGGCACCAAACAAGGGATGACTGTCCCACATTCACATGTCTCAGATCAATGACACTAGTGCAGGCACCAACAAGAGATGATTGTCCCACATTCACACATTCACATGACTCAGATCAATGACACTAGTGCAGGCACCAACAAGAGATGATTGTCCCACATTCACACGTCTCAGGTCAATGACACTAGTGCTGGCACCAACAAGAGATGATTGTCCCACATTCACATGTCTCAGGTCAATGACACTAGTGCTGGCACGAACAAGGGATGACTGTCCCACATTCACATGACTCAGGTCAATGACACTAGTGCAGGCACCAACAACAAGAGAGATTGATGATCCCACATTCACATGTCTCAGGTCAATGACACTAGTGCTGGAACCAACAAGAGATGACTGTCCCACATTCACATGTCTCAGGTCAATGACACTAGTGCTGGCACCAACAAGAGATGACTGTCCCACATTCACATGTCTCAGATCAATGACACTAGTGCAGGCACCAACAAGAGATGATTGTCCCACATTCACATGTCTCAGATCAATGACACTAGTGCTGGCACCAACAAGAGATGACTGTCCCACATTCACATGTCTCAGGTCAATGACACTAGTGCAGGCACCAACAAGAGATGACTGTCCCACATTCACATGTCTCAGGTCAATGACACTAGTGCAGGCACGAACAAGGGATGACTGTCCCACATTCACATGACTCAGATCAATGACACTAGTGCTGGCACCAACAAGAGATGATTGTCCCACATTCACATGTCTCAGATCAATGACACTAGTGCAGGCACCAACAAGAGATGATTGTCCCACATTCACACGTCTCAGGTCAATGACACTAGTGCTGGCACCAACAAGAGATGACTGTCCCACATTCACATGTCTCAGGTCAATGACACTAGTGCAGGCACCAACAAGAGATGACTGTCCCACATTCACATGTCTCAGGTCAATGACACTAGTGCTGGCACCAACAAGAGATGATTGTCCCACATTCACATGTCTCAGGTCAATGACACTAGTGCTGGCACCAACAAGAGATGACTGTCCCACATTCACATGTCTCAGGTCAATGACACTAGTGCTGGCACCAACAAGAGATGACTGTCCCACATTCACATGTCTCAGGTCAATGACACTAGTGCTGGCACCAACAAGAGATGATTGTCCCACATTCACATGTCTCAGGTCAATGACACTAGTGCTGGCACCAACAAGAGATGACTGTCCCACATTCACATGTCTCAGTCTCAGTGTCTCAGGTCAATGACACTAGTGCTGGCACCAACAAGAGATGACTGTCCCACATTCACATGTCTCAGGTCAATGACACTAGTGCTGGCACCAACAAGAGATGACTGTCCCACATTCACATGTCTCAGGTCAATGACACTAGTGCTGGCACCATCAAGAGATGATTGTCCCACATTCACATGTCTCAGATCAATGACACTAGTGCTGGCACCATCAAGAGATGATTGTCCCACATTCACATGTCTCAGGTCAATGACACTAATGCAGGAACCATCAAGAGATGACTGTCCCACATTCACATGTCTCAGATCAATGACACTAGTGCTGGCACCAACAAGAGATGATTGTCCCACATTCACATGTCTCAGGTCATTGACACTAGTGCTGGATTGATTTTACTAAACCAGGCAATGTAAAATTGATGTCAAATGGTGAATCAAAGTGGTGTTAACTTATCTGGCTTCTGTAGTGCAAGTTACGTGTCAGATGTCTGAATTGTCTTCGGGCAGCTTATCTCCATGCTCAACAGCCATGTGTTGTGATGGCAGTGGGGTAGCCTTGTGGTTAAAGCAGTTGCTTGTCATGACCAACACACGGGTTCGATCCCCCACATGGGTGCAGTGTGTGAAGCTTATTTCTGGTGTTTGATATTGATATTGTTGGACCATGTATAGACCTTAAACAGAAACTGTCACACTAAGGACACATTCCCTGCAAAGTATGTAACATAATGATTAAAACCATAAATTATGTGTTGATTAGCCAGGTACGTGTGTATTCAGTGTGTTGAGGTCTATATGATTTACAGTGTTTGGTTCCAGTGAAAATATGGTTGGTTTTAATTAGTATCATGCACTCTTTAGTGGACTGTGTCTTGTTTGTATGTTGTGTGTCTGTTTCTACAATGTTTACTCTTTCCATAATTTGGTTAATCTCTGCTGTGTTTTCAATACTGGGCCTGTAAGAGCTTGTTCTGAAGATCCTGTACTGAAGATCCTGTACAAGCACTGTACCGTGGGGCAGGGGTGGCCCCGGGGGGTGGGCCAGGGGGTGTCATCAACGGATGAGGGGGTGGTGTATGACAGGACACACTTCACCATGCAGATGGAATACTTGAACCCAATGCTTGTGGTAGGAGGGCACAACATGGATCATATGGTCAGGCTTTGTGACTCTTCTGTTTGGTGTCTAGCTACGTGGGATGTTGGTCACGATGTTCATCTTGTGACTCTTCTGTTTGGTGTCTAGCTACGTGGGATGTTGGTCACGATGTTCATCTTGTGACTCTTCTGTTTGGTGTCTAGCTATGTGGGATGTTGGTCACGATGTTCATCTTGTGACTCTTCTGTTTGGTGTCTAGCTTCATTGGGATGTTGGTCACCATGTTCATCTTGTGACTCATCTTGTGACTCTTCTGTTTGGTGTCTTGTGACTTTCTGTTGGATGTTGGGATGTTGGTCACTTATGTTCATGTTGTGACTCTTCTGTTTGGTGTCTAGCTACGTGGGGATGTTGGTCACGATGTTCATGTTGTGACTCTTCTGTTCGGTGTGTAGTAGCTACGTGGGATGTTGGTCACGATGTTCATGTTGTGACTCTTCTGTTTGGTGTCTAGCTACGTGGGATGTTGGTCACGATGTTCATCTTGTGACTCTACTGTTTGGTGTCTAACTACGTGGGATGTTGGTCACGATGTTCATCTTGTGACTCTACTGTTTGGTGTCTAGCTACGTGGGATGTTGGTCACGATGTTCATCTTGTGACTCTACTGTTCGGGTGTCTAGCTATGTGGATGTTGGTCACGATGTTCATCTTGTGACTCTTCTGTTTGGTGTCTAGCTACGTGGGATGTTGGTCACGATGTTCATCTTGTGACTCTTCTGTTTGGTGTCTAGCTACATTGGGATGTTGGTCCACGATGTTCATCTTGTGACTCTTCTGTTTGGTGTCTAGCTTCATTGGGATGTTGGTCACGCGATGTTCATCTTGTGACTCTACTGTTTGGTGTCTAGCTGCGTGGGATGTTGGTCCGCGATGTTCATGTTGTGACTCTTCTGTTTGGTGTCTAGCTACATGGGGATGTTGGTCACGATGTTCATCTTGTGACTCTTCTGTTTGGTGTCTAGCTGTTAATGGGGATGTTGGTCACGATGTTCATCTTGTGACTCTTCTGTTTGGTGTCTAGTTGCTATGTTGGTCACGATGTTGGTCTGTTCGATGTTCATCTTGTGACTCTTCTGTTTGTTGGCTAGTTGCTGGGATGTTGGTCACGATGTTCATCTTGTGACTCTTCTGTTTGGTGTCTAGCTTCTTCATTGGGATGTTGGTCACGATGTTCATCTTGTGACTCTTCTGTTTGGTGTCTAGCTGCGTGGGATGTTGGTCACGATGTTCATGTTGTGACTCTTCTGTTTGGTGTCTAGCTACGTGGGATGTTGGTCACGATGTTCATCTTGTGACTCTTCTGTTTGGTGTCTAGTTACGTGGGATGTTGGTCACCATGTTCATCTTGTGACTCTTTTGTTAAGTGTCTAGCTACGTGGGATGTTGGTCACGATGTTCATCTTGTGACTCTTCTGTTTGGTGGCTAGTTACGTGGGATGTTGGTCACGATGTTCATCTTGTAACTCTACTGTTTGGTGTCTAGCTACGTGGGATGTTGGTCACGATGTTCATCTTGTGACTCTTCTGTTTGGTGTCTAGTTGCTAGGATGTTGGTCACGATGTTCATCTTGTGACTCTACTGTTTGGTGTCTAGCTACGTGAGATGTTAGTCACGATGTTCATCTTGTGACTTTTCTGTTCGGTGTCTAGTTACGTGGGATGTTGGTCACGATGTTCATGTTGTGACTCTTCTGTTTGGTGGCTAGTTCGTGGGATGTTGGTCACGATGTTCATCTTGTGACTCTTCTGTTCGTCTAGTTAAGTGGGATGTTGGTCAAGATGTTCATGTTGTGACTCTTCTGTTTGGCTGTCTAGCATGTACGTTGGATGTTGGTCACGATGTTCATCTTGTCACTCTTCTGTTTGGTGGCTAGTTGCTAGGATGTTGGTCACGATGTTCATCTTGTGACTCTACTGTTTGGTGTCTAGCTACACGAGATGTTAGTCACGATGTTCATCTTGTGACTTTTCTGTTCGGTGTCTAGTTACGTGGAATGTTGGTCACGATTTTCATCTTGTGACTCTTCTGTTTGGTGTCTAGCTACGTGGGATGTTGGTCACGATGTTCATCTTGTGACTCTTCTGTTTGGTGTCTAGCTGCGTGGGATGTTGGTCAAGATGTTCATCTTGTGACTCTTCTGTTTGGTGTGCTGGCTAGCTTGGGGATGTTGGTCACGATGTTCATCTTGTGACTCTTCTGTTTGGTGTCTAGTTGCGTGGGATGTTGGTCACCATGTTCATCTTGTGACTCTTCTGTTTGGTGTCTAGCTACGTGGGATGTTGGTCACGATGTTCATCTTGTGACTCTTCTGTTTGGTGGCTAGTTACGTGGGATGTTGGTCACGATGTTCATCTTGTCACTCTTCTGTTTGGTGGCTAGTTGCTAGGATGTTGGTCACGATGTTCATCTTGTGACTCTTCTGTTTGGTGTCTAGCTACGTGGGATGTTGGTCACGATGTTCATCTTGTGACTCTTCTGTTTGGTGTCTAGCTACGTGGCATGTTGGTCATGATGTTCATCTTGTGACTCTACTGTTTGGTGTCTAGCTACGTGGGATGTTGGTCACGATGTTCATGTTGTGACTCTTCTGTTTGGTGTCTAGATACATGGTATGTTGGTCACGATGTTCATCTTGTGACTCTACTGTTTGGTGTCTAGCTACGTGTGATGTTGGTCACGATGTTCATCTTGTGACTCTACAGTTTGGTGTCTAGCTACGTGGGATGTTGGTCATGATGTTCATCTTGTGACTTCTGTTCGGTGTCTAGCTATGTGGGATGTTGGTCACCATGTTCATCTTGTGACTCTTCTGTTTGGTGTCTAGCTACGTGAGATGTTAGTCACGATGTTCATCTTGTGACTTTTCTGTTCGGTGTCTAGTTACGTGGAATGTTGGTCACGATTTTCATCTTGTGACTCTTCTGTTTGGTGTCTAGCTACGTGGGATGTTGGTCACGATGTTCATCTTGTGACTCTTCTGTTTGGTGTCTAGCTATGTGGGATGTTGGTCACGATGTTCATGTTGTGACTCTTCTGTTTGGTGTCTAGCTACGTGGGATGTTGGTCACGATGTTCATCTTGTGACTCTTCTGTTTGGTGTCTAGCTACGTGGGATGTTGGTCACGATGTTCATGTTGTGACTCTTCTGTTTGGTGTCTAGCTACGTGGGATGTTGGTCACGATGTTCATCTTGTGACTCTACTGTTTGGTGGCTAGTTACGTGGGATGTTGGTCATGATGTTCATCTTGTGACTCTTCTGTTTGGTGTCTAGCTACGTGGGATGTTGGTCACGATGTTCATCTTGTGACTCTTCTGTTTGGTGTCTAGTTGCGTGGGATGTTGGTCACGATGTTCATCTTGTGACTCTTCTGTTCGGTGTCTAGCTACGTGGGATGTTGGTCACGATGTTCATCTTGTGACTCTTCTGTTTGGTGTCTAGCTACGTGGGATGTTGGTCACGATGTTCATCTTGTGACTCTTCTGTTTGGTGTCTGGCTACGTGGGATGTTGGTCACGATGTTCATCATTGGTTTTGTTTGTCTGGATCCATGTATTGAGGCCGCCTTGAAGCTGGCTGATGATACACTTTATTGTACCTGATCCTTGGTGTATCTCAGTTTGAGTGTGCACATAACACTGATGCTGAATAAAAACATGGCATTGTTTCACCTGTAACGAGGAAGTAAGATGGGACCGACAAAAAGGGAGAAGGAAGGTGTCATAAATTGATGCTGTGAATACTTATATGTGTAAATGGTTGAGAACACCAAGCGTAACATTTCCTGCACTGTATCTATGTTTTTCAGGCCTGTGACCTCTCCTAAGTATTACCTCGTGCACCTGTAACCTTCAACACCTGCAACCACCATCACCTATAGCTCTACATGCCAGTCACCTGTCAAATAGAACTCTCACACAAGTAACCTTCTACACCTGTAACCTTCCACACCTGCAATCTTCCATGCCTGTAACCTCTCACACTTGTAACATTCCACATCTGTAACCTCTCACACCTGTAACCTCTTACAAATGTAACGTTCTGCACCTGTAACCTCTCACAAATGTAACGTTCTGCACATGTAACTTTCACACCTGTAACCTATCACACTTGTAACATTCCACATCTGTAACCTCTCATAAATGTAACGTTCTGCACATGTAACCTCTCACACCTGTAACCTATCACACTTGTAACATTCCACATCTGTAACCTCTCACAAATGTAACGTTCTGCACATGTAACCTCACACCTGTAACCTATCAAACTTGTAACATTCCACATCTGTAACCTCTCACAAATGTAACGTTCTGCACATGTAACCTCTCACACCTGTAACCTATCACACTTGTAACATTCCACATCTATAACCTCTCACAAATGTAACGTTCTGCACATGTAACCTCTCACACCTGTAACCTATCACACTTGTAACATTCCACATCTGTAACCTCTCACAAATGTAATGTTCCATACCTGTAGCCTGTCACATTTGTAACATTACACATCTGTAACCTCTCACACCTGTAACCTCTCACAAATGTAACGTTCTGCACCTGTTACCTCTCACATCTGTAACCTCTGACACCTGTAACCTCTCACAAATGTAACGTTCTGCACCTGTTACCTCTCACACCTGTAACCTCTCACACCTGTAACCTCTCACAAATGTAACGTTCCACACTTGTGTTCTGTATCTGTACCTGTTATTCGCATTTTACTTTCCATGATTGACTGAATGTTTTATTTGTTTTCTGTGTAGATGATGCAGGCATCGGATGTTGCAGCATCGCGTAGTAGTCGCTTCATCGCCATGGAGGACTTCCTCTTCCTCTTACGCAAGGACAAGGTCAGTAACACAAACTGTTTGTCTCATCTCACAGCTGCAGTGGGGTAGTCTAATGGGTGGAGCGTTCGCTCGTCATGGCACAGGCTAGGTTTGATTACCCACATGGGTACAATTTGTGGAGCCCATTTCTGGTGTCCCCACCATTGATATCGCTGGAATATTGCTAAAAGTGACAGAAAAAAACAATTCACCATTCAGATAAAACTCTGTGTCTGCAGACTCACAGTGTTAATTGTTTTATTCAGACATAACAACGTATGGTATGGCTTTACAACTTGTGTGTTGATTTATGAATAATGAAGAAGTTGTAAATCCATACCATATCATGTTATGTTACCATCCAACTTCTAAATGCACATCAAGCATCTTTTTTATTCAGATAAAACTGTGTCTGCAGACTCACAGTGTTGACTGTTTTATTCAGATAAAACTGTGTCTGCAGCAGATAAAACTGTATGCACGGTGTTAACTGTTTTATTCAGATAAAACTGTGTTTCACAGTGATGAGACGACAGACTCACAGTGTTAACTGTTTTATTCAGATAAAACTGTGTCTGCAGACGCACAGTGTTAACTGTTTTATTCAGATAAAACTGTTTTAGCAGACTCACAGAGTTGACTGTTTTATTCAGATAAAACTGTCTGCAGACTCACAGTGTTGACTGTTTTATTCAGATAAAACTGTCTGCAGACTCACAGTGTTGACTGTTTTATTCAGATAAAACTCCGTCGTCTCCTGAAGTACATGGAGGTGAAGGACCTGAAGGCCTCAACGCTGCGCAGCGGAGGGTTCGAGGATGAAGAGACGTGTGACTCAGGTGGGTGGAAATCCTATAACAGTTCATCACCTTGTTGTGAAGTCTGGCTGTCTCACTGCATCATCACCACAGTAACTGACCCATCATCACCATAGTAACTGACCCATCATCACCATGGTAACTGACCCATCATCACCATGGTAACTGACTCATCATCACCATAGTAACTGACCCATCATCACCATGGTAACTGACCCATCATCACCATAGTAACTGACCCATCATCACCATAGTAACTGACCCATCATCACCATCACCAAAGTAACTGACCCATCATCACCATAGTAACTGTCATCATCACCATAGTAACTGACCCATCATCACCATAGTAACTGACCCATCATCACCATAGTAACTGACCCATCATCATCATGGTAACTGACCCATCATCACCAGACATGTCGACTGTCTGTCATTGAGTTCAGTGTGACGTAACTTGTTTGTATGGTGATGACTTTGTTAAATTTACACTTGTGCTAGCCATACCATGAGTCAGTAGATAAGTGTTATGTCACACAAACATTTGTCAAAGGAAAAGGTTCCTAATCCTGATCAACAGATAATCTCTTTTTTAAACCAGGTCTTGTTTGATTTCTCAAGCTTTACAATGAATGTCTTTGAATTTTTATGTTTTTGACAACTGAGAGTCTTTGGATTTTATTGTTTTTCAAACCAAGTGTCTTTTAATTTTTTTATTTTTAAACTGAGTGTCTTTTGCTACTCAGAGGCTTATGGAGGAGTTGTTTATTTATCAGTTATTGTTGAGATGTGATAAAGAAATACACTCAGGTAAGATATTATTCATCATCCAAAATCATTTTTCAGACTTGTTCAGTTGAGAAAGAGTAGTAACCTGTGCCTTGATTGTTAATAGTACAGCTGACCAGACTTGTGATCCAAATTAGTTCAAGTGACATATTCTTCAAAATATGGGCTCGATCTCATCCTCATCAAACCTCCTTAGGAAGCCAGTGTTGGACATTACATGTTCAGGACATGTGTCAAAAGCATTTTCAGTATTGACTGATGATACATTCTGTTGTTTATATTCACTATATTAAAGTTTTGTTATATTAACTAATGATGAATTAATTTGAATTAAATGCATGAACTGAAGTCATAGTTATACTTTAAAACCTTTATGGGATTCTGTTTTTAACACTGGAAGCTTTGTGTTTTGTTGAATGCAAGAACTGATTAAACACAACTAATGGATCTTTCTTGTGTCAGATTTTTTGTATGAGCAATATCTGAAGCAAACATTGCCACTTCGTCATGGTCCCCAGTGGTTCAAGGGAGACAACTCTTGTTTCCAGTGTTCAGTGTTTAATCAGTCTGATGCAAAAACACTGTGAATATTTAATCAGCCATTGCTGTTTGCCTGTGATAATTGGTGTAGTTAACAATGTTGGACCACATGTCCTGTGTTGGGTATTGATGCAGCACGTGTAGTTCCACACACTGAACTTTAATAATTAAACTTCTTACACATGGCATTGAAAATATTTGGTCTTGATTACAGCTGATAAAAGTCAGCCTGTGAAGAAACGGAGGAAGATCTGCTATGATTTTCTTGCCTCCATTGACAGCACAGGTAATGTGACTATCTTAATTTCTTAATGAAGTTTAATTTGCTGGGTTTTTTTAAATTTCTGATGGGTCTAGAAGAGGTTTTAAATCACATTAGCAACCTCTGTACCAGCTGGTGGGGTGTCCGCATCAATCCTCAACCTGATGTTTGCAGTAATTCTCAGTCAGTGTTAGTTGTTGTTTAAAATACACAGTTACAGTTATCTAAAGTATTTGTGGCAATATGCTTTAAAAGAGTGTCAAGAGTGTCAAGGACATATGTTAAAACAAACAGTAGCTGAAGGTTTGGTACTTCCTGTCTTTCCTTTCACCAGTTCAATGTCAGAATACTGATGTGCAGTTTCGTAATAATTCTCACATTTTTGGAGGTGATTACAACTTTGTCAGTAGATGAAGTACCTGTGCTGAACACTTTTAATGTCTCTCAAGCAAGTAAAGTTAACTGTTAATGAAAAAAGCAATGTTTGTGTATACACAGTGTTGAAAGCCAGAATCAGTTTCATTAAAATTGACAACCAGGACAAAACATTGTGTTGTTTGTTTGATGTTTAACGTCACTCTCGGCAATATTCCACCTATGATGTGGCTGACTATAGATAATTGTGTGTGGGCCAATCAGTCCAGTGATCAACATCATGAGTATCAAACTACACAATTGGGATACAATGACATCTGTCAACCAAGTCAGTGACCACCAAATCCCATTAGTTGCCTCTTACGACAAGTATAGGTTGCTCTAACCCGGATCTTCATGGGTAGTCAAAACATTGTACTCGAGGGGTATCCTGCCAATGGATGGTCTGCTTGTGGATGGTCTGCCTGTGGATGGTCTGCCAGTGGATGGTCTGCCTGTGGATGTCTGTCTGTGGATGGTCTGTCTGTGGATGGTCTGCCAGCGGATGGTCTGCCTGTGGATGGTCTGCCAGCGGATGGTCTGGCAGCGGATGGTCTGCCTGTGGATGTCTGTCTGTGGATGGTCTGCCAGCGGATGGTCTGCCTGTGGATGTCTGTCTGTGGATGGTCTGCCAGCAGATGGTCTGGCAGCGGATGGTCTGCCTGTGGATGTCTGTCTGTGGATGGTCTGCCAGCGGATGGTCTGGCAGCGGATGGTCTGCCTGTGGATGGTCTGGCAGCGGATGGTCTGTCTGTGGATGGTCTGGCAGCGGATGGTCTGTCTGTGGATGGTCTGCCTGTGGATGGTCTGGCAGCAGATGGTCTGGCAGCGGATGGTCTGCCTGTGGATGGTCTGCCTGTGTGTTCCCCTTGCTACTTCACTGATTATCTTCACTCATACAAAAGAGACACATTTAGTTTTGTCATTTGACGTCTTCTGTTTCAAATTGAGTATTGCTCTGCCAAACCTACAGGAACAAAGCTCCTCACTGAAAACACAGTGTGTGTATTTCCTTAACAAATAGTTGCTTCTCTGACAGTGTCACGGCAAGCATTCCAGGACTGTAGCATGTTTTCCTGTAAGAACAGTCTCATTATGATCACATCCTTCCAGAGCTGAGCTACAGTGTCTGTGTTTCAGGAGAGTTGCTGGCCCTGTTTGACGAGGAGGGAGCGGATGAGATTAAACACGAGAGACTTATGGTCAGTAATCACAGTGCATCATAGTCATACAGTACCTGATAATTTGTTTTCCATCTTACAAATATGTTTAGTATGAGCTTCTTCAAGTTAGTGACCTCTTTCTGTGAACTTAGAGTGAAGAAACTCAACCATTGATAGACGAACTCTCAATGTATGTCTTATTATAGACCCGTGAAGATCCGGGGTAGAATAGGTCTTCAGCAACCCATGTGCTTGCCATAAAAAGGCGACTATCTTGTCGTAAGAGGCGACTAACGGGATCGGGTGGTCAGTTTCGCTCACTTGGTTGACACATGTCATCGGTTCCCAATTGTGCAGATCGATGCTCATGCTGTTGATCACTGGATTGTCTGGTCCAGACTCGATTATTTACAGACCGCCGCCATATAGCTGGAATATTGCTGAGTCCGGCGTAAAACTAAACTCACTCACTCACTCTTATTATAATGGAGGAATGTAATATGAAAACTATGATATTTAGTAGGTGTAATGATTGAAGTCCTTCTTGTATCAGCCGTGTGAGAAGGAAGCAGTGGTCCTTGCCAAGCAAGTCTGGTATTAATTCCAGGGTATAAAATGTACCTAATGCTTTGTCCTAGACTGGTTCGTGTGGTTTATCAGCTTTGTTTGATGCATTCCAGCGTGCAGAGGTACAGACTCGTAGTATGACACCGCAGCAGTACACAGAGTACTGTCAGGCCCGACAAGGGAGCTTCAGTAAGTACTGCAGGTACAACAGTACACAGTGTACTGTCAGGCCCGACAAGGGAGCTTCAGTAAGTACTGCAGGTTACAACAGGTCACCAGCAACCCATGCTGGTTGTACAGGGTTCTATATGAACTGGTTGGTCAGGCTCGGTGATCTTGTTGATTGTTCAACATCCTATCCCGATATCTGATCATCTGTATTGTGTTACAGTCACATTAGTACATGGTACACAGAGTAGCCATGTGTTGGCTCGTTATCCGAGTTCTGTTCCCATGTATGTACAATATGTAAAGCCTGATCTTGGTGCCATGTCACTATGTACAACAGTGTGCTTGACTGGACTATCACTATGTACAACAGTGTGCTTGACTGGACTGTCACTATGTACAACAGTGAGCTTGACTGGACTGTCACTATGTACAACAGTGAGCTTGACTGGACTGTCACTATGTACAACAGTGCGCTTGACTGGACTGTCACTATGTACAACAGTGAGCTTGACTGGACTGTCACTATGTACAACAGTGAGCTTGACTGGACTGTCACTATGTACAACAGTGAGCTTGACTGGACTGTCACTATGTACAACAGTGCGCTTGACTGGACTGTCACTATGTACAACAGTGTGCTTGACTGGACTGTCACTATGTACAACAGTGCGCTTGACTGGACTGTCACTATGTACAACAGTGTGCTTGACTGGACTGTCACTATGTACAACAGTGAGCTTGACTGGACTGTCACTATGTACAACAGTGAGCTTGACTGGACTGTCACTATGTACAACAGTGCGCTTGACTGGACTGTCACTATGTACAACAGTGTGCTTGACTGGACTGTCACTATGTACAACAATGTGCTTGACTGGACTGTAACTATGAACAACAGTGTGCTTGACTGGACTGTCACTATGTACAACAGTGTGCTTGACTGGACTGTCCCTATGTACAACAGTGTGCTTGACTGGACTGTCACTATGTACAACAGTGGGCTTGGCTGGACTGTCACTATGTACAACAGTGTGCTTGACTGGACTGTCCCTATGTACAACAGTGGGCTTGGCTGGACTGTCACTATGTACAACAGTGGGCTTGGCTGGACTGTCACTATGTACAACGATGCGCTTGACTGGACTGTCACTATGTACAACAGTGTGCTTGACTGGACTGTCACTATGTACAACAGTGTGCTTGACTGGACTGTCCCTATGTACAACAGTGCGCTTGACTGGACTGTCACTATGTACAACCGTGTGCCTGACTGGACTGTCACTATGTACAACAGTGGGCCTGACTGGACTCTCACTATGTACAACAGTGTGCTTGACTGGATCGAACTATGTACAACAGTGTGCCTGACTGGACTGTCACTATGTACAACAGTGTGCTTGACTGGACTGTCACTATGTACAACAGTGCGCTTGACTGGACTGTCACTATGTACAACAGTGGGCTTGACTGGACTGTCACTATGTACAACAGTGCGCTTGACTGGACTGTCACTATGTACAACAGTGTGCTTGACTGGACTGTCACTATGTACAACAGTGCGCTTGACTGGACTGTCACTATGTACAACAGTGTGCTTGACTGGACTGTCACTATGTACAACAATGTGCCTGACTGGACTGTCACTATGTACAACAGTGCGCTTGACTGGACTGTCATTATGTACAACAGTGTGCTTGACTGGACTGTCACTATGTACAACAGTGTGCTTGACTGGACTGTCACTATGTACAACAGTGTGCTTGACTGGACTGTCACTATGTACAACAGTGTGCTTGACTGGACTGTCACAACAGTATGTACAACAGTGTGCTTGACTGGACTGTCACTATGTACAACAGTGTGCTTGACTGGACTGTCACTATGTACAACAGTGTGCTTGACTGGACTGTCACTATGTACAACAGTGTGCTTGACTGGACTGTCACTATGTACAACAGTGTGCTTGACTGGACTGTCACTATGTACAACAGTGTGCTTGACTGGACTGTCACTATGTACAACAGTGTGCCTGACTGGACTGTCACTATGTACAACAGTGTGCTTGACTGGACTGTCACTATGTACAACAGTGTGCTTGACTGGACTGTCACTATGTACAACAGTGGGCTTGACTGGACTGTCACTATGTACAACAGTGTGCTTGACTGGACTGTCACTATGTACAACAGTGTGCTTGACTGGACTGTCACTAGTGTGCCTGACTACAACTATGTACAACAGCTTGACTGGACTGTCACTATGTACAACAGTATGCTTGACTGGACTGTCACTATGTACAACAGTGTGCCTGACTGGACTGTCACTATGTACAACAGTGTGCCTGACTGGACTGTCACTATGTACAACAGTGTGCTTGACTGGACTGTCACTATGTACAACAGTGTGCCTGACTGGACTGTCACTATGTACAACAGTGTGTTTCACCTGACTGTTACTGTACAGTGTGCTGGACTTGTTTGTGCAGGTCGGAAGTACAAGAGCCAGAGATTCAAGGACTGGGTCATGGCAGGAGTCACCATTGATGTCAAGCCAAACCTACAGGCCTGGGAGGTGATCAGCTACCTGGCATATGAGACAGTCGCTCAGGTAATCATGGATAAGATATTTTAGATTAATTGAATTTGGACTTGAAAAAGAATAATGGGCTTTTGAATTGTCCAACTCAAATAACATTAAAATAGATATTTCTTTTCCAAATTTGAAAATTGACCTCCCATTTAATAATTCACTGCTTCCTTTAAGAGTCAAATTCAGGTAAAGTTTTGCTCAAATGTCCAGAATGTTTGCCTAGGGAAACCTGATAAAATCCTTGTGTTTCAGATTGTTGACCTGGCTCTGATTGTGAAGCAGGACATGAGGGCAACAACCTCAGACCCGATGTCGAAGAACCAGCCAAACATCTGCCTCAATTACCATGATGCTGTGCCCTTGTCGTCCATCCTGGGCAGCAACAAGATGTCCCTCATGGCGTCACCTACCAGGGTATGCACACTTTAGTTACACAAAGGGGTGGCCTTGAATAGCTAGTGAGTTATTATATTTAACGTCACATTGGCAATGTTTCAGCCATATCATGACGAGAATAGCCATTGAGCAGACAGTGTATGAAGTATTGTATTCACATGTCTGTTTAATAAAAATCTGAAAGGGGAAGCTTGGATGAGTGGCTGCTGAAAAGGAATAATAATCAAACAGACATACTGTTAAGACACCAATTGTTATCTGTGGAGATTACTGTAGTTGATGTGTAACTTTGGCCTCATGGTGATAGGGGAGAACAGGCAGTAAACGTACATCCGATCCGGTTGTTGAAAAACTTTGCATATATTACTTTTCAACACAGAATCAAACTTCGATGAAAAATATAGGCCCATCTTGAGGGAGTGAGTGAGTGAGTTTAGTTTTATACGCTGCAGTCAGCAATATTCCAGCTATATGGCGGTGGTCTGTAAATAATCGAGTCTGGACCAGACAATCCAATGATCAACAGCATGAACATCGATCTGCGCAATTGGGAACCGATCACGTGTCAACCAAGTCAGCGAGCCTGACCACCCGATCCCGTTAGTCGCTTACGACAAGCATAGTCGCCTTTTGTGGCTAGCATGGGTTGCTGAAGACCTACTCTACCCTAAATCTTCATGGGTCAGGCCCATCTTGTATGACATTGTCATGTGTAAGTTTGTGATGCAAGAATTCATATTGACACTTCTGTTAATTATGCTGATCCTTAACATGTCTCCTATACTGTTGCAGTCAAGTCCTCCCTCCACCCCCACGACCCCATCAGTTCCAGGGTCAACTTCAGCCCCTACCTTGACCTTACCCCAGGGGTCAGGAGGTAGTAGCTCAAGCTCGTCCAAATCAAAGTCAAAGAAACGGAAGAAGGTGAGTGTTGTGTTCATGTTTATACCTTGCTGCACTGAGGCAGGTGGGTCACCCCCATCGCCTCACATCCTCAATATCAGCATGCTTAGGTTCCTGTTCTAATGCAGAACCCACATTAGGCCATCGAGAATTACAGGATCCAGTATCTGTCAATAGGATTGGTATGGATTTCACACATAACAGTGTCGTGCTTTATAGCTTGTAAAGCCAAGTTCACCAAAGAAACCTAAAAATATAGAATGATGATGTACCAAACATCAACTGAATGCTGACCTTCTTAACCATGTCAATCCTGGGGTCGGCACTTCATGAAAATATCATGTTGCCAGCTGTATCCCTCACTCTTATGATTCATAGGGGCGTGTACATCCTTGATAGCTTCCCAGTTAGTCCCATGAATCCCCCGTGACCCCACGTTTGACCTTGTGTTTCAGAGTGGTCCTGCTAACTTGATGGAGATGTCACACAACCAGGCCATCTTGCCCTCCGATGTCCGGGAGGCCATGCGCCGATACAGTCAGACTACTGGATTCCTGGCATCACAGACAGTAAGTTGAAGACACAGTCCTTCTCATAACCATGTGTGAAAATATGTTCAACTTGGCTTTAGTCAACCAGAAAAAATCAGAAATCATTAATTGCTTTGATTGTGATCACTCCCTCTCTTTCCAGAAAGTGAACCCAAGCTGGCCTCCAAAGATGCGTCTCCTATGTACTTGACATTTTCTACCTGGGATGAGTGTTCTGTACAAGATCTGCCGCATGGACCGTCTGTTACCAAGGACTTCTGCTGCAACATTTGTCACTGATGTTGTCTTTTTATAAAATTAGTATTGCTAGGATTGGGACCAACAAGATGAACTTGACTTCTGTAAGGACACCCTTTCCTTGTGAATCATGATTGCAGGAAGAGACGAGAACAGTTGCCTCTTGTACTTCACCTTCAGTGTCTTGAACAAGTAGCTGTACAGACTAACAGTCCTCGTTTCTGATTACATCGATGGTTCTCACAATGCTTAGCCACCTACTTATTCACTTCCTGAAAGTGCAATACTTGAGCAGACGTGAGATTTATATGACCATCCTTCTAAATGAATATGTTTACTGCTGCCTGTTTGGCCACTCTGGTGTTGTGTGGTCAGCACCAACACACTAACCGGTGTACAGCTAGTGTCAGATATGTCCAGTGAAGGAAGCTGGTCATCTGCTTCCTCGCTCAGCGTCAAGATGTCAGCTTCAGCTATTTCACCTCCATGTTTTTTCTATAATATTTACTTCCATGAAGGAACCTCCATTAACATCATTAATGATGAAACATAAACACTTAGACAAAGTCAAATACTTTTTGTTTTATTTACATGTAGTGAAGTATGGCACATCTAACAACTTGTGCTGAAAATTGTATAAGTTACTGGGTAGAAAAAGTTAACTAAAGTTTGAAACCCAAATCAAGTATTTCAGACCATCCATTTCTGTTATTGGAGACCGATACACAGACAAGATAGATATAATGAGTTAAATCAAAACAGGTATTTTCTGTAAATATATATACCTTCTCCAGTACCTGGTTGGTGCTAAACACAATCGGCATGTTGATACCGAGATTTGTTTTTGGTCACCAAGTCAAGGAGCACTGTCCCCTTTTGTCTAGATATTATAATTCACGTTATGTGAATCACGTTGTGTAATGAGGGGTAATCACAGCAGATTGATAGACATCATAAACAGTGAACTAGAAGACAGATGTGTTTAATGACCAATATTCTGGATCTACCAAACCACATGCCCCTGAAAGCACTGTAGGCTTTATTGGGGAGTCGGGGCCAAGGTGATGTTAAACCATCCAGTATGGGTACATACGGACATTTCTGGAGTAGGTGGGACTCAACTCTCACTTCAGACTGGTATAGTTTCAACTCGAAACCTTTGGTATCAGAAAAACACAGACTACCCAAAAACAACACCGAAGCTTCTTGAATAAATAAGGAACAAGACATTTCATATGACTGAACACTATTTAAAAACACTCATGAATCTCCATCTCAGGACCAACAGTGAAGAAAAAGGTAGGTACACAATTACAGGTGCTCTTGCCACCTCAGGTACAGCACCAGGTGAAGGTGAATTGGTGCATCATTAAATTAATCACAGCAGCAGCAAACATCTATACAACTGTAAGCTGGTAATATTTTCGACAACATGTAAAATGTTTCAAAATCTAAGAATCATACAAATATCATGTTCCATATTGTTACTATATATGAAAGGTTAGTTATTAAAATTTTGCATTTTGATAAACTGATTTGGAAAATCAGAATACTTGAACATAAACAGGGAGGACATACATTATGACATCAAATATAAATGCAGAACTTGGGCTAACAGTTTGTTATCAAGCTGTAGGATGGCCTTTCTCTTCTGATATCCGGGTCTTTTTGTTACTTTGTGTAACAGCACGACACACAATGATTCACTCACATGCCAAATATAAATGCTGTAACCATGGTAATGCAGTAATGAACAGGATACCTCGCATTTGGAAGTTTTGAATATGATAACAAAATGAATTGCTACCAAGTTGGTGCCTTGTGTGAAACTGAGAACTACATGGGAGTAAATATTACAACTAGTTCTGTTTCATTTCAGATACAAAAAAGACAGGTTTGCCATGACTATCAACCTGTTACCACACCCTTTCATACAAAGTAACAACAGATCTTGTGTTGATAGTGTCAACAAGGTAAAACATTCAAAAACATAGTAAATAGAGGTTCGAGAACACCGGATTCGTTTACTAGTGTACATAATCACTATACTGATATAACAGACCTGTGTGTTCCTTAACTTATGTGGAGTAGTATTCATTCAACAAAATAACGTATGCTATGAAACAAAATGTTCAGTTTCTGAGTGTTTTTAAATAAAGTTTCATCACTTATCCTCAGTCACTCTAAATTTGTACATTCAAGGGGAGGTAACTCATACCTGGTAACTTCAGGAGAGTTTTTTAAATAATTTTATGTTCACCAAATTAAGCCATGAACAACATTTCTTGAACAAATAAATAGACCAATACAGAGCATGAGCAAATGGTAAAGTAAACATCCTTAAAACATCACTGGTACACAGTGCTAGACCTAGAAGTCTTCTATGACTAGAAGTGACATTGACACAACACAATGCTTGATGAAATGTTGACGTGTGGAGGTCACAACTAACTCATTACTTGTTCGTTGGTACTGCTGCCTGGAAATAGTACAAAAGAGACATTCGTCAAGAAACATGCTTTTTGTTGTGAATGTGGACGACGCCAATGCCAATGTGACCAATCTCTCAACCTGACGAATAGGAACTTCCAATCTCGACAACAGACAGATCTTTATGCTGTCATTTTTCTGTCTGTTCCTTATAGCTGATGAACACATTTGACGAACAACTAATTAATCCTTTGTGGCTCAAAGGTGTGTTGATGAATAAGCTTTCCCCACTATGGAACTGTCATGGTAGACACGAGGAGCCTTACAACTCAAGTATAAAATTATGAAAATGTTTAAATACTTTACGATATATATCTATAGGTGTAAATTCTAAAAGAATCTAAAATAAAGTATTTGTGAGTAAAAAATAAAGTAATTTGATCACATGAATGATCAAGTTTGTAAAATACTTGAGAAAAAAAACAGTGACAAAGTGTGAAGTGTTACACACACAGATTGAAACAATACATCTTGTAGCTCTTGATATACTACTCACACTTTGCTAGGGATCACAAAAATTCACAACTTTACTTAAACATAAATTCATAATTTGAAATTGTATCCATTTAAAACTGGATAAATAATAATATGGCCACCCCTCTTTAGGCAAAGAGTCACTTTAACCATATGCACTTGATACATGAGTAACCATAAAACCATAAAACTGACATTGACAAGTACACAACACCTGTCAATAGCAGGTATGGGTTCCACAAGACACAGTGACATACTGAAACCTAGGATCCATGCTTACAATAAGCTTAGATATTTAAACCAAATTTGACCCCACATCATAGTTTTCTGTTGAATCCATGATTTTATCTTTAGCAAAGTGTGAATAGTATACTTTACATCATACACATATTACAGCTCATACTTACATATCTATATCTTTCCATTAGCACTGTACACCTAATGTTTTTGATAAATCCTCTGGATCCTGATTAGGTCGGTACAGGGAAACCTCAATAACAAGGACCTACTTAAACTGTCCTTCAAGATTATGAGAAACAATAGGAATTAAACTTAAAGCACACGAGTACAAATCTGAATTGGTATTACTAATATAAACATGTTTCAGATATGTCAATGAGCACTGTGAAGCCTTATAAATAAATGCCAACCAAAATATCTCCATACACATGGTAAACATATCAAGTTCTTTGTAGTTCTGTAATATTTTAAACCAACCAGGAACACATCACCAGTGTATTGGATGGACACCCCTACAGTACCCCTAGTCCTAACGGCGGTTTGTGATAGCACTAATGTCATTCCTGGGTCAAGGGCAGGGTACGAAAACAGCATTTTATAACAGCAGATACACATAAATAACATACCAAAACCTTAACAGGGCCTCTGCGTTAGACCATGCTGTCTTGAGCATGTCCACAATAGAAGATATATGATAGGTTAATATTTTCCACTTAAATGTCAGTGTTAATGGGATGTACATGTCAGTAAGTGACAAGTCCTACTGTGATGTATACTAAGCAGCAAAAGATAGGTCAGTTTGGAATTTTCCTTCACAGAAACGGATAACTGTAAACTCATTTAATGTTTTGATTGTATATTTTTGACAACATCTCCAACTTTACCTGAGCAAAGACATTCCTTCCCAAACTCAGAATGGAACCCAGGAAATGGTCTCAAAAATGCAACCTGATCTGAGATGTACGGTGTTCTCCATGTTTTTCATGCAACTCATGCTGCACGTGCTGTTCACAAGGCCCAGCCCTATAAAATGCACCCCCAAACCTGGTTGAAACATTCACATTACAACGTCAGCAGGATGCCGCGACCCACGACAGCTCAGAGGAACCAGGCGCTAGGAAGACTTGAAGCTGGCCACACTGCACAAGTCATTGCCAATCACTTGGCTGCAGCAATGTTTCCGGGCCACCAACCCCACAAATGATCGCCGACAAGACCGCCAGGTTGTGCGACAGCATGTACAGAATCCCTTCATGCAGGTATCTGAAACAGCATGCCAGACAGTGGGAACACACGGAAGACCAATCAGTACTGATACAGTACCCCGACGTCTTAACAGCAGGAACCTCCATTGCCGTAGACCTTACAGTGGACCTATCCTCACCCCTCGTCATCGGCGTTAACGTCTACAGTTTGCCCTACAACACCAAAACTGGCAATACGGGCAATGGAGAACTGTTCTGTTCACAGATGAGAGTCGGTACTGCGTATCAACTGCAGATGGCAGAACAAGAATATGGCGACGACGTGGCCAGCGTTATTGAGACCAATGTGTTATGGAAAGAGACTCATGGGGAGGTGCAAGCCTCATGGTATGGGGTGGAATAGGCCTGAACCAGAGAGTGGGTCCTGTGATGTTCCAGAACCTTGGTCCAGGGAGAGGAGGCAGCATCACAGCGCTACATCAACCAAGCTCTCAGACCCCATGTCATACCACTTTTCGCACGTCACCGGAACAACATTTTCCAGCATGATAACGCCCGGGCCCATACTGCCAGAGCTACACGGGACTTCCTACAACAGAACAGTGTGAACGTTATGCAGTGGCCAGCCCTTAGTCCTGATTTAAACCCAACTGATCATCTTTTGGATGAAATTCAGAGGAGACTGAATAATGTCATACCAAGGCCGAACACAGCCGATTTATTGTGCCAGGCCTTTCTCAGAGTATGGTTCCAGGTGCCAATGGCCTTCATCAATCGATTGGTGTACTCCATGCATAGACGCTGTGCTGCAGATATTGCCGCACGTGGTGGTCACACTAGATACTGAAGTCAAGGGTCTGAATGGACTGCAAACGTTCACGTAATGTCTTGGAATTGTGCTATTCATCGATGTTTTAAGATATTGTACACAAAAAATGTTTTTGCATATTACGTCCACTTCTGTAATGATCTGATTACAGTGCCTATCTAATTTTGAATTCGTACTGACGTTTTATGCTGCTGAGTATATGTATCCGAAAACCATGTGAAGTAACATTCACTGGACAAAGAAAATTTTCTGATGTTTTCTTGGAGAAAGGTATTATCCCACTTTGAACTGTTCCCTAATAATACATAGTTACATACATCTCAGTAGTACTTCCATTGCTCAACAAAAGAAATTCTTGTTGAACTAGAACTAGAACCATAAATAGGCAGAATTTCCCACATTAGGTTGGTACAATTGTCTCAATGTCGCCCAACAGGATGATGGGGCCCTGATAAGGTTGTTTCAAACATATATTGCTTAATGACAGCTAGCACTGTCATTGGCAGATCTTACTTCATAGATAATATAGCTCTAGATATAAAACTTTGATTTTGGGTACGAGCCAGTGGCGTCAGCTACAGGCGGTGTAGCGGCTACCATGCTCTCCTCTTTGATTGGCTCTAGGTTTGGATGCTGTGCGACGAACACCAGTTGCTGTGGCAACACTGGGGATAGTAGGAGAAGGTGATGTGTCACTCATGGTGCTGCGGTAGTCCTCGGTGGGGTGGTACAGTTGGCGGTATTGCTGGTCCTCGCTGAACACCGACGTCTGCAACAACGTTTAGACGTCAATGTTCATTGGTAGTGAATGGTGTAAGAACTGGCTTAGATATATCACAACATAATGTGCCAGGAAATCAATGGTCATGTGAGTGAGTAAGTATGGTTTTACGCCGCTTTTTAGCAATATTCCAGCAATATCACGGCGGGGGACACCAGAAATGTACCCATGTGGGAGAAATGTACCCATGTGGGACACCAGAATGTACCCATGTGGGGAATCGAACCTGGGTCTTCGGTGTGACGAATGAACACTTTAACCACTAGGCTACCCCTCGCCCCAATGGGTATGTTGATAGTTGAGATTTCAACCAGATCCTGCTGTGACAAAGGGACGCAACTGCACACACCACACCACCCATGCCACATCATCAACAGAATCGAAAGGTCCTTCTATGATTTCATATAGTTATTTCATGTTTTGTTTGTTTAACCCAACAGAGAAACAAAAGATATGTGAATTACTGACCCCATCCTCACTAAACACAGGCAGCAGGTCCTCTCGGTCACTGGCCGAGGGGGGCGTGGCCTGGAACACGAACAGCATCACCCAGATTGGAACCAGCAGCTTCAGCATCTACAACATCAAGAACAACAGCATATTCAAATTCAGTGACTAAATTTATTTAAATCTAAATATTTTAGATATTTAAATACTTACCTTACCTCATGGTAATGTGCATATTACCTTTGCTCATCCGATACAAAGATTGGAAACGTGATCGATAAGTATCCTTGTTGAATGCTATCATGAAACTGGTGACGTGTCGATCCCGTCCAGTGAGCGGAAGCATGCCCCCCAATCCCGTCATGAGACAATGAGAACACATCACTTTATCCGAATCCTGAAGTCCGAGCGGAGTCCAGAGCGGGGAGGAGATGATCCATCGAAGAGAGGGCGTAAGACGCCATGAGGTAAGGTAAGTATTTAAATATCTAAAATATTTAGATTTTAATAAATTTTTAACTTACCTTACCTCATGGTAATGTGCATGTTGATCCGACAGAAAGGCAGGAGGGTCGGACACCAGCGAGTGACCAGTCAAAACTATCAGACCAAAACAGCACAACCGGGGACATGGAAACTGTTGAACTGGAATCGTTGAAACAAGAACAGTAAACCACCGTTAGAACCCCTGATAAGGAAAGCACAACACGAGAGAACGTGGGTTAACCTTAAAACTTTCACTAAGATGATTAGACAAAAGAAAAGGGCCGCGTCAGTTGCTGAGCTACCACAAGCGGGCCAAAGGTCTGAAGCCCCCGTACATCCTGGACTGCCAGATCCCGGAGATAATGGCTGGCGAAGACTGTGTTAGACCTCCAAAAGCAACCTTCCATAATAGTGGGGACCGAGCAGTTTCTGTGCAGAGCCATGGCCTGTATCTCGTGCAGATTGTTGGCGGTTGGGTGAGGCACACCAGCGGAGTCGTAAGCTGCGAGGATAGTCGAGCGAAGCCACAAAGCGAGTTGTCCAACGCCGCCAAGAGCTTGGAACCCCGTAGCGAATGAATCCAGTGCTGAATGGCTAAGATGAAAGCCTGAAGCGCTAGGTTGTTGCTGTGCCAACCAGCCTGTGCGGTTAACCAGAGCCCTGCCGCTGTCTGAGAGTCCAAGTGTGCGCCCCAAGCCTGCAGAGCGTCCCACAAAAGTTCACAGTGGTGTGAATTCGGTCAAAGAGAGACTGCCGCCCAGGCGTTCGACTCGATAGTCCACCACTGAAGAAAGGGATGAAGATGAAGGGGCAGCAGAAACCGCAACCTGAGGTCGTCTAAGAGGATGAAAGGCGAGAGGAACCGTTGAAGCGGTCTGAGCATTAATCTCCCTCTGGTGGTAAGATCCTGAGCCGACGTCAACAGACCTATTAGGAACTGCCATTCCCTGAGTGTAAGCGGGTGTGACAAACCCCGCCGAGCAAGACTGAGGATTCTTTGCCATCTGTCCGGTGGAACCTACAGAAGGTATTGATCTGTCAGGAACAAACCCCCTATGAAAATCAACTGTTGACAATCCAACCGAGTTGATGGAAAAGCTTGAGTGTAAAGTCCCTCTGCCTGCGTAGCAGCCGGCACTCCTTGTGGCTCATGAGAGAGTCGTCTATGTATGGGTCGAACTCTATCCCCCGAAGATGAAGATACCGGGAAATCGGTGCTGTAATTCGAGTGAAAAGCCACGGGGCCATAGAGATGCCAAACGGCAGGACCTTCCACTGGTAATGGTGACCGTCGAAAATGAACCTCAGGAACTTCCGGTGAGGTTCGTAAATGGGAACATGTAGGTATGCGTCTTGAAGATCCAGACTGACCAACCAATCCTTGGGGGACAGTTTGGTTCGTAGCTGGATCAGAGATACAATCCGAAAATGTGGTGGCTTCGGAAGGTAAAGTTTGTTGAACACCGCCATATTGTGTATCATCCTCATCTTCTGAGAATTCTTTTTGGGTACTAAGAACATGGGAGAGTAAAACCCTGGGGAGTTGCTGGGCTCTAATACTTGTTCTATGGCCTTCTTGTCCAACAACGCCTGAATGTTGGTCAACAGGTGCTGGTGTTGAACGATGCAATATTCGTGAGACCGGGGCGGGGTGGTCAAAGGTGGCGACATGGCTACTGGCAATTTGTAGCCTGTCTTGAGAAGATTGGTGACAAAGGGGTCTCCTAGGATTGCCCAGTTGGGCCAGAAGACACAGAGTCTCCCGCCTAAAGGTATATCACGGATATGGATGGCTGGGGGCCGTGACCGCCCAAAACATCAGCGGCGCTTGTACTTGGGTTTGCCTGTCTTGCCCAAGTCCTCCTGGATTGGTAAAGGTTGGTGGTCCTGGTAGCTTGCGCTGACAAAGTGGCGAAGTGACGAAAATATCGGAGCTCAATCTCAGTTTGGGTCAAGGAGGCATGCTCTGAAAAGACATCCGGGATCTTATCCGCGAATAAGGTGGGAGCCTCAAACGGGGCACGCATCAGTCTTTTCTTGAATTCCTCCTGCCAGGTACAGGGAGCGAGTAACCCAGTCCTCCTAGTCACAGTGGTGGTAGCTAAGGCCGAACGAACGTGATCCACCACATCAGACAGAACTCTAGCCTGCCATCTAAACATAGTGGTAAATGATCTAAGCGGGAAGGGTTATCCTCCGAGAGATCTTGAGACATGGCAGTGGCAGAAGGAGCTCTGGTTCATCCCAAATGGAGGTAGCACGAGGAATATCCGACCCTGGAGACGGGCAAATGATAAGTCTATCAGCTATCCAAGCGTAAACACTCTCCATGCCCAAGTGCATCAGACCCTCGTAATCTGGAACAAACTGAGCCTCCGACACAAGAGATGAGGAATCCCGCGACCTAAACAAGGTGATCGGGAACGCAAACGCTGATGAAGAGGTGAAAGTTGTCTCCAAGGAGAGCACCGAGGTGAACGCCGAGGTGAGTGCGGCGATGAGGCGCGAACATCCCGTTACAGGAGGCCTGGGAGAACGGAGGCCGAAGGGAGCGTCTAGGTGAAGAGCGCTGGCGTCACACTCCGTTGCGCGCTTGGGAGAATGCCGAGCATCCCGCGTAGGTGAACGGCTTGGTGAAGGTTGAGGGGAGAATTGCCGATTCGTGGGCAAATGCTGGTCATCTCCGGACAACGGACGATCAGAGGAGTGCTGGCGTTCCTTAGAACGATCATCTGGACGCTGACGATCCTCCCATTCCAGTAAACCAACCAAGAGCTCCATAAGCCGGGAATCTTGAAGAATAGATTGAGCTCCTGGAGTCACAGCATTGTCGATCTGGGCCTGCGTGAGGAGGCTCGCTCTGGAGCGTCCGGGGATGAGGACTGGCGGGGAGGCGAAATCAAGTGAGATTACCGATTGCAGTAAACCCATTGCATGAACTAACCACTGCAAACTGCAACAACAGAAAAACAATTACTGTTGATCACATGTTAAGTAAATATTAACATTATAACGAAGAAAATATAGCATAACAAACAGTTATGATAAAGCATATATAAGCCTATATGGGAAGGCAAGGCCCACGTGCAAAACCACATAACTTTGGTATACACACGCTTACCCAAATATGAAAAAACGCTGACAACTTAACGCGACAGTGAAGCGAAAAACGGCGGGAAAAGCAGAATACGAAACTAAACTACAACAGAGAGCACACACAGGTAGCTCTGCATGTATGTGCCACACCTAGCGACAGCCGCCATTACTAGCAAGCATGTGAAAAACCTCTACGAAGAAAAACACACAAAATATGACACAAAGAAAGAGAACAAGATACATACAATGGTCAAGCAGGGACAACAACAACCCAGGTTGACCAAAGAGGTACCTAATTCTGCCAAAGCGAAGCTGGATAAACAACGTGAGGCAAAACAAAGCAAATCAACACCGCGAAGACCGTACAGTGAGAAAAAACAGCCAACGGTGAGTAGCTTTTCGTTATATCATGGTAGAAGGATACAATAGGAAAACCTTACCGTTGCAAAACACAAAGAAACAGTAAGAAAAGAAACAGAAATATCGTATATACCGTCCAACTCGGGCTGTGCGATTAAGGATAAAGTGACGTGTTCTCGTTGTCACATGACGGGATTGCGGGCGTGCTTCCGCTTGCCGGACGAGATCAACACGTCACCAGTTTCATGATAGCATTCAACAAGGATACTTCTCGATCACGTTTCCAATCTTTGTATCGGTTGAGCAAAGGTAATATGCACATTATCATGAGGTAAGGTAAGCTAAAAAAATGATATATTATCGATGGAAAAACATCTGACATTTTAAAGGTCACATAAACCCTAGGGGGTAAAAATACATAAATCACTAACTGGCATCGTTATAAATGAAACCCCGTCATTAAAACTACTCATTTCGACCTTTAATTGACTTAAATCGACCTTTTTGACAACAGTGCACAATTTCAGTGCACCCGCGAACGAAATTTCAACCAATCAGAGCGGCACGACTCTGTGACGTCATATGAGGAATAGCTTTGAGGGCAGATGCAGAATTCATCTACATTTTAGGGGGTAAATTATCTTGTTTACAGGCTTGTATAAACCTGAAATCGTGACAATTGTTGTGGAAAATGAAAGCTATATGTTTTCACAATCTACTGGCATTTAATTTTGTCTCCTGCTTTGCCTAGTTTCCGAAGTTACAACTTGTTTTCATAGGCGCTTCTGTCACAATTGATTGGTGTCGTTAGGCCCTATTTGTTTAATGACTGATCCAAATTGATCCCATTTCTGTGTTTTTACCTCGATATTTAATCATGTCATGTAAAAATCTGTTTGTATTCTCAAAACAGTGTTGGCCCATAAGTTTTCACATGCAATACAGAAATTAATACTCCCTTGTTGTAACCCGTGTTAGGTGGTATAAACCTACACATGTTATTTGTCATCATTCCTTGATGGTCAGTTAATGAATTTATAACAGGTATAATTAGGTGGTAACACACTTAGATTACCGACAAAGGTTCCCATTTGGCATTTCTTGTGTCTGGAGTAAATATTCAACATTATAAACATCGATCAAAGGATTAACCGATAACACGCTGATTGATTAATTACTTTTATCTTACACAGCGGAATTGTCAAAAGGTAGTATTTATGTATCTAGATTTACTAATCTATACTGAATACACCCTGCCGTGTCGGTGTCTGCGCGTCAAAACAACGTCCTTCTTTCAAAGGATTAACCGGCAATACATTGATTGATTGCCCATTATTGGCTAATTAAATTACTGTTTTTAATGAAAGGCGGACATTATGCAATTAGTTGCCAGGTGTGCTATCTTGGGTGACCAATGAGACTATACACCAATACCTGAAAAGATTTATCACTTTTTTCGTATATTAAACTGTTAAAAGACACATCATTTGGAACAGTTTTGTGGATATTGATGGATACATTCCTCAAACAAGGTAATGGCCTGATATTGTTCCTATAACTTTAATCTGTTTTAATTTTAATATTTGCATTTTGTTTTTAATCATTTGTCGTAGCATTCAACAGAATCATTGTTTTTCACCATGAAGTGTAATGAGACAGACAACATACACTAGGGTGTGTGTGCGAATTATGATTCACATTGGCAAACTATAAAATGTCTAGATATTACAGTTCTGTTATAAATTCACTATAAGTATCAGCAGATCTGTCCGGTGGAACCCGCAGAAGGTCTTGATCTGTCAGGAACAAACCCCCTATGAAAATCAACTGTTGGGAGGGCTCTAGGTGGGACTTCTAGAGGTTGACGATCCAACCGAGTTGATGGCAAAGCTTGAGTGTAAAGTCCCTCTGTTTGCGTAACAGCCGGCACGCCTTGTGACTCATGAGAGAGTCGTCTATGTATTGGTCGAACTCTATCCCCTGAAGATGACGATACCGGGAATTCGGTGCTGTAATTTGAGTGAAAAGCCATGGGGCCATAGAGATGCCAAACGGCAGGACCTTTCACTGGTAATGGTGACCGTTGAAAATGAACCTCAGGAACTTCCGGTGAGGTTCGTCAACGGGAACATTAAGGTATGCGTCTTGAAGATCCAGACTGACCAACCAATCCTTGGGGGACAGTTTGGTTCGTAGCTGGATCAGAGATACCATCTTGAAAAATGAAAATGGCGGCTCTCGGAAGGTAAAGTTTGTTGAACACCGCCATATTGTGTATCATCCTCATCTTCTGAGAATTCTTTTTGGGTACCAAGAAGATGGGAGAGTAAAACCCTGGGCTTGCTAGGCTCTAGTACTTGTTCTATGGCCTTCTTGTCCAACAACGCCTGAATGTTGGTCAACAGGTGCTGGTGTTGAACGATGGAATATTCGTGAGACCGGGCGAGGTGGTCAAAGGCGGCGACATGGCTACTGGCAACTTGTAGCCTGTCTTGAGAAGATTGGTGACAAAGGGGTCTCCTAGGATTGTCCAGTTGGGCCAGAAGACCCCGAGTCTCCCGCCTACAGGTATATCACGGATATGGACGGCTGGGGGCCGTGACCGATCAAAACATCAGCGGCGCTTGTACTTGGGTTTGCCGGTCTTGCCCAGGTCCTTTTGGTTACCGGTGGGACGACGTTGGAAGTCGTTGGGACGTCCCCTGCCACGCCCTCTAAAGGCTCCACGAACCAACGTCCTCCTGGATTGGTAAAGGTTGGTGGTCCTGGTAGCTGGCGCTGACAAAGTGGCGAAGTGACGAAAAGATCGGAGCGCAATCTCAGTTTGGGTCAAGGAGGCATGCTCTGAAAAGACATCCGGGATCTTATCCGCGAAATAAGGTGGGAGCAGCAAACGGGCGCCTGCCATCTAAACATAGTGGTAAGATGATCTGAGCGGGAAGGGTTATCCTCCTAGAGATCTTGAGACATGGCCTCCGTGGCCGAAGCAAGCACAGAGAGGGGCTTCAAGGTTCGACGGAGTTCCGTATCAATCGCCAACAACTTGGCATCTGGGACCTTGTATTGAGCTTGAGAAGCATCCGACAATCGTTTGGCCGCTTCATCTTGTGTAGCGCCAAAATCCACAAAGTCAAAAGAATGCACCTTGTAATCCTGACGGCGATGTTTAGCAGGCTTGATGGAAGGATTGAGAGATAACTTTTGGAAATCTTCATCAAGTGAAGCAATGGCATCAGCAACCATGGGATGCGGTGGCAGAAGGAGAGCTGGTTCATCCCAAATGGAGGTAGCATGAGGAATATCAGACCCTGGAGAAGGGCAAGTGATAAGTCTATCAGCTATCCAGGCGTAAACACTCTCCATGCCCAAGTGCGTCAGACCCTGGTTGTCTTCTTCCTCGTAATCTAGAACAAACTGAGCCTCCGACACAAGAGATGAGGAATCCCGCGACCTAAACAAGTTGATCAGGAACGTAAACACCGATGAAGAGGTGAAAGTTGTCTCCGAGGAGAGCCCCTAGGTGAACGCCGAGGTGAGCGCTGGCGAGGCGCCTGGCAGAACAGGAGCGCCGAGGGGAACGTCTGGGTGAAGAACCCCGAGCGTCATACTCCATTGCACGCTTGGAAGAATGCTGAGCATCCCGCGCAGGTGAACGGCTTGGTGAAGGTTGAGGGGAGCGTTGCCAATTCGTGGGCAAAAGCTGGTCATCTCCGGACAACGGACGATCAGAGGAGTGCTGGCGTTCCTTAGAACGATCATCTGGACGCTGACGATCCTCCCGTTCCAGTAAACCAACCAAGAGCTCCATAAGCTGGGAATCTTGAAGAATAGATGGAGCGCCAGGATTCACAGCATTGTCGATCTGGGCCTGTGTGAGGAGGCTCGCTCTGGAGCGTTCCGGAGATGAGGACTGGCAGGGAGGCGAAGTCGTAGATCACCGATCCGCTGAAGGCCTAGAGACGTTCCCAAGCTGAGCCGTAGGCGTCAAAGGAACCTGAGCAGTCTCAGAGGCGTCGTTAGAAGACATGAGGCGCTTGCGTTGAGTAAAACGTTTGTTCCGAGCAGCTAAGAACGCTTTAAAGTGGAAGGTAGGTGCCAGCAACATGAGCACCGAGAGGTCCAAGTACATGCTGAGTCGACCAAACAATCCGGGCAAGCAGGATGGGGGTCTTTAGCCGACTTCTGAGACTTGCACCGATTGCAGTAAACCCGTGGCATGAACTAACCACAGCAAACTGCAACAACAGAAAAACAATTACTGTTGAACACATGTTAAGTAAACATTAACATTATAACGAAGAAAATATAGCATAACAAACAGTTATGATAAAGCAAATATAAGCCTATATGGGAAGGCAAGGCCCACGCAAAACCACATAACTTTGGTATACACCGCACGCTTACCCAAATAAGAAAGAAACGCCGACAACTTAACGCAACAGCGACAGGTGAAAAGCGGAATACAAAACTAAACAACAACAGAGAGCAAACAGGTAGCTCTGCAGAGAATGCACACACAGGTAGCATCTAGCAAGTATGTGCCAACCTTTAAGAAACAAACACACAAAAATATGACACAACTAGAAAGCAAGATACATACAATGGTCTAGCGAGGACAAAAACACTGACAAAAGGTATGAAGCTGGATAAACAACACGTGGCAAAACAAAGCAAAACAACACACCGCGAAGACCGTGACAGTGAGAAAAAACAGCCAACGGTGAGTAGCTTTTCATCATATCATGGTAGAAGGATACAATAGGAAAACCTTACCGTGAGCAAAAACACATAGAGTTAGAAAAGAAACAGAAATATTGTATACATGCCAACTCGCTGTGCGATTAAGGATAAAGTGACGTGTTCTCGTTGTCCCATGACGGGATTGGGGGGGTGCTTCCGCTCGCCGGACGAGATCAACACGTCACCAGTTTCATGATAGCATTCAACAAGGATACTTATCGATCACATTTCCAATCTTTGTATCGGATGAGCAAAGGTAATATGCACATTATCATGAGGTAAGGTAAGTTAAAAATGATATATTATCGATGGAAAAACATCTGACATTTTAAAGGACAATAATTTTTGTTTTGATAACGAGGTGAACAAGCAGCAACACAAAGTAATCATGATGTCAACACACAACATTGCTTCATAATCCAAGCTAACCATTTCCATACTGCCATCATCATTAAACCCTGATTTGTCAACAATATTGAGAGAGCACAGCTCTTGTGGGTATGTCGCATACGAGCTACTATCATGCCTGAGTGGTGGGCTACAATCAACTACATGGTACTCACTGTGAAGACAACGAAGATTGGGGAGTACAGTTCCTGAGTGTAGAGCTGAAACCATGGAAACATTTCACAGACCTTATTCCAATAAACAAATGTTTCATTTCAGGATGAGAGACATCACACTGACATTATGGCAGTGCCCCTTTCACTAGTTTCAGTAGGAACTCATATAGGCTCAGTGTTCAACTTAGAGTGATTCGGTGAGTTTAGTTTTACGCCGCACTCAGCAATATTCCAGCTATATGGCAGCAGTTTGTAAATAATCGAGTCTGGACCGGACAATCCAGTGATCAACAGCATGAGCATCGATCTGTGCAATTGGGAACCGAGCCAGCGAGCCTGACCACCGGATCCCATTAGTCGCCTCTTACGACAAGCATGGGTTACTGTAGGCTTATTCTAACCCGACCTTCACGGGTATGTTCAAGTTAGAAAGGCCACTATGATGCTCACTGCTGTTATCGAATACTGTGCAGAAAAAAGACACGTCTAAGCAATGTCAGTGTATATATGTTTCGAGGGTTGCCATGGAAACCCTCTGACAGATTGGTATTCTGTTCCTGTTGTGAATATATGTGTACCTTCCCTGTTGTCATTGATATGACATAACATTATCACAAGAAATACAACTCAGATCCTCATATCAGGTTCTGACATAGCGGTTATGAATGAAATTGACTTTGGAAACTGCAATTAATTCTCCATTCTTCATTGTTGTTGAATAATACCCTGGAAAACTTGACCATTGAATATCAACAATCAGACAAGTAAAATACTCACAAATATTGCACTGCAACCTTTGCTTTCATCTCCAACTGAAAGGAGAGCAGATAGTGAACCTGTAGTTTCATAAAGCTATATCTCAACATGGTGGAGATTCATTCAACTTGTAACAATTACAGTAAGAATTAAACATAAAAACCTATGACTTTCATGACTCCATACAAAACCACAGTGCAGTCAATATTCTGCATTGCAAATACAATGTATTCAGAACACTGAATATTTCTTCACAGAACACTAAGGAAAAAACTATTGAGATGAACTATTGAGATGAACTATTGAGATGAACTATTGAACATATTGAGATGAACTATTGAGATGAACTATTGAGATGAACCTGGATTGAGATGGGTCTTTAGGGCTTGACGAGCTTCCTTTGACTACAGAATACAGAAGTACCTAATGAGTGAGGTTTTATGTTCACAAACAAGATGACAATTATCCAGTCACCCTGAAGTTTTGATCTAATCTAATCTAATCATTTTGTATAGCTGAAAGGTTCCAGGTATACTGTTCACTGGCGCTTTCACATGTTCACAGTATATACACAGTATATACACGGTGCCTCTTGTTTTAACAGTCATAGGCAATTTTGAAGAGATGGGTTTTTAAGTTTGTCCGGAATGTTGTTGGCATTTCTGATAGCTTGATGTCGTCTGGAAGAGCATTCCACATAGATGCTGCTGCCTTGAATCTGCTGCATTCTGAAAATACGCTCCTTGTCTTCTAGGAGCCATGTTAGGCTGTTTTACAATAGGGCTGAGGCTTTAGGAGAAGGTCCTGGAGACATTGGAAGGTGTGGAATAGGAGCAGAGTCTGTCTGGCATTGGAAGGTGTGTGAGGCTGAACAAGGGCTTCTGGAGATTGGAAGGTGTGGAATAGGAGCAGAGTCTGTCTTGGAGACATTGGAAGGTGTGGAATAGGATGTTGAACTTGATTCTGCTGGAAACTGGTAGCCAATGGAGTTGTTTGAGAACAGGAGAGATATGTTGGTGCTTAGATGTCCTGGTAATGATTCTGGCAGCTGTATTTTGGAGGAGTTGAAGTATATGAAGGAGTGTTGAGGATTTGCCATATAACAGGGAATTAGAGTAATCTAATCTTGAGATGATAAGTGATTGAGCTAGCATATTAGTTGAATCTTGAGAAAGGTATCTGCGGAGTTTTCCAATCTGATGGAGATGGAAATGACCTGTTTTGCAAACTACTGCTACTTGATTCTTCATTGTCATGTTGGAGTCAAAAAAAACCGCCCAGATTCTGTACTTGTTTACATGATGTTACTGGTGTATCTCCAATTCTGCATGTGATTTTAGAATCAGGTATCTTTTGTAGTTGTTGATAGGAGCCGACAAGAAGAACTTCAGTTTTCTCCTCATTCAATTTGAGGAAGTTAATTTTCATACGGTCACTTGTCTGACAAGTTGATGAGCATTTGTATGAGGTGAATGTCACCTCAAATTGTACAAGCTTCACACTGCTAATGTCAACTGAAATAACCACAAATGCTATCATTATGTGTGTACAATATCCCGGTGTCAGGGGTTTTTTACGATGTAAGACAAAAACGTAATTTTTATCTGTAATATCATTTAAACTTTTTATTTTACTAACCTCGACTGATAAAGGATATATTCATCTATTTCACACAAAAATATCAAGTGTTTCCTACAAAAATAGCGTTGATGACATCGTATCGGCGAAACTGTTGCCGTTCGTAACATCCGGGTATTTTGTATGGGTTTTCGATGATCAGCCATACTTTTTGCTCCACACTGCGAGAGAGTGTTGTGATCATGTGGCTTCCTATTTATATACTGCCTGTCACCAGCAGACGACTGATCTTACTGAATTTTCGCTTGCTATGTTTTGTTATAAAGGGAACTGATTTTGCATCGTAAGTGGTATTAACGATCTCGGGTAAATAATATTGATGTTTGTTTGCTTTTCATATAAATTTACTTCCCGATTTCCATTGTCAATAAAACTTCTCAAGACACCGACTGGGCACCCAACCTACCAGTGAAACTGTTTGTGCACACCGATCGCACACGTACTCACCCGATATAGCGCGAGCAATGCAATCGTTGAAATCACCAGAACGTTGAATTCAGCTCGTGTTGGGATACATTACATGTATAAGTAGCAGAGACCAAAACATTTCTTAAATATTTTTATTTCTATCAATTTTAATTTAGAAAAGAAAGTAAATCTTCTTAAAGAAACTTACTGATCTGGAGAGTGACGTCATAGATAAACCCAACGAGGGCTGATATCTCAAATACCACGATGATACTGAAAAGCAGGACACAAGTGAGTGAGATGGGTTTTACCACACTACTTTACATCACAGACATTGGGTACAATACTTCATGAGATATCGCATTAACAAGAGTTTGAAAAGTGGTCAAAGTGTTGTGGTGACCTTGAAAATAAGGTCAAGGTCACCAAAATCGACTGTTGTCTGCATAATCCCCCAATGTAGGCTGTCACCAAATTTGAAGACATTGGGTACAAGAGTTCATGAGATATCTCGTTAACGACAATCGGGACGTACGTACGTCCGTACATACAGACGCTGCTGAATACATAGTCCCCCATTCCACTTTGCGGCAGGGACAATAATTACAACAAAACCAAATTTTGCAGAGTCACATGAAATCGACAGACCAACTCTGATGATTTGTGTAATAATTTTGGACACCCGAACAAAAAAGTTGTTCAACAAACGATAATTATTTTGTTGTCACTTTTCGCACTATTATTAACGAGGAGGGACCATTTCCTGGTAAACCCAAGCACATTTACAGATTTTTCAAAGACCACTGTTCATAACAGATGTAAATTCATGACTGGAACCAAGGCCCAGTGGATCCTGGCACAATCAAGGGACACTACTCTGTACAGTTGGTGAATATCTTCATGAACATGTTACCTACCACCAAAGGTCTCTTTTCTGTGTCCACCTGACTGAGTCAAGGGTGCTGATTTCGTTGAGGCGTCGAGTGATGTAGAATCCAGCCAAAGCAAACAGCTGCACGATAACAAACTCTGCTGCCGACAGCTCCAGCCAGTAGGGCTCTGTGGGGAACAATGTCAAGCATACATTGGAATCAGAGATGCCATATTCCCTCTACTTCAGATATATCACTTGCGTTCTTATTCACCGATACCAAATTATGTGAGTGAGTGAGTGGGTTTAAATTTACGCCGCTTTTAGCAATATTCCAGCAATATCACTGCAGGGGACACCAGAAATGGGCTTCATATTTCCTCTACCTCAGAGATATCACTTGCGTTCTTATTCACTGATACCAAATTATGTATAATTCAGAGATACCATATTCCGTCTATTGCAGAAATACCATATTCCATCTAATGCAGAAATACCATATTCCATCTAATGCAGAAATACCATTTTCCATCTAATGCAGAAATACCATATTTCTGTTAATTCTGGGACATCATATTTGCTACAATTGGTCTTTTTTAGAAATATATTCCATCAAATTCGGAGATGCCATATTCCCTCTAATTCAGGGATAACAGATTTCATCTAATTCAGGGATAACAGATTTCTTCCCACCAGACATACAAGTGAGGAAGCAGTCGTCTGTATGGATGAACTATGCCTGGATGATGCAGCAGACTTACGCATGCACTCTGTGAGTGTTGACTGGACGTTGATGATACCCAGCGCAGTGATTACGGTGAAGTACACGCACGCTGCCATCAGAAATGGTGTCAAGAACCTGCAGTAGGATTGTCACTCATGAAATACCAGACAGGCCTTCCTGGCCTCAGCACAACCTACTGATGTGATTACAGATTGGTGGGAATATTAATAATCACAAAAACAGAAAGAGAAATGTTTGAGTTCAACATCATGTACAAGCACAGGAACGCCAAGGAAACATCATGTACAAGCACAGGAACGCCAAGGAACCACAGCCTTCTTGCTTTAAGCTAAGACATCTTTCCATTTTGCTGCCACAAACATGAAAGGATTGGATAAAACCCCATAAACTTTGGACAAATAACGGACAAGAGATCTACTCTAAAGTGAGTTGTCAACTGGACCACAGGCTTGGTTTCCTAATGAGCGAGTTGAATGTTATGCCACATTAAATAGAATATCTTACCTCTTTGCTATCTTCTCCCTGCGTAGAGCTCTGGTAGCCAGTGTCCAGTAGAAGTGGCACATCACTAGGAACTGAAGCAGCTTCAGCCACTGCAGGACGAAGTCCAGTTGAGCAAAGCCTCCCAACACCCAGTGAACACCCCTGTGTAGAGAGAACATACCTTGATATAGACCTACCCAACACCCAGTGAACACCCCTGTGTAGAGAGAGCATACCTTGATATAGACCTACCCAACACCCAGTGAACACCCCTGTGTAGAGAGAACATACCTTGATATAGACCTACCTAACACCCAGTGAACACCCCTGTGTAGAGAGAAACATACCTTGATATAGACCTACCCAACACCCAGTGAACACCCCTGTGTAGAGAACATACCTTGATATAGACCTACCCAACACCCAGTGAACACCCTGTGTAGAGAGAAACATGTGTAGAGAGACCTTGATATAGACCTACCTAACACCCAGTGAACACCCCTGTGTAGAGAGAACATACCTTGATATAGACCTACCCAACACCCAGTGAACACCCCTGTGTAGAGAGAAACATACCTTGATATAGACCTACCCAACACCCAGTGAACACCCCCTGTGTAGAGAGTGAACATACCCTTGATATAGACCTACCCAACACCCAGTGAACACCCTGTGTAGAGAGAACATACCTTGATATAGACCTACCCAACACCCAGTGAACACCCCTGTGTAGAGAGAACATACCTTGATATAGACCTACCCAACACCCAGTGAACACCCCTGTGTAGAGAGAACATACCTTGATATAGACCTACCCAACACCCAGTGAACACCCCTGTGTAGAGAGAACATACCTTGATATAGACCTACCTAACACCCAGTGAACACCCCTGTGTAGAGAGAGATACCTTGATATAGACCTACCCAACACCCAGTGAACACCCCTGTGTAGAGAGAACATACCTTGATATAGACCTACCCAACACCCAGTGAACACCCCTGTGTAGAGAGAACATACCTTGATATAGACCTACCCAACACCCAGTGAACACCCCTGTGTAGAGAGAGAACATACCTTGATATAGACCCTACCTAGTGAACACCCCTGTGTAGAGAGAGAACATGCCTTGATATAGACCTACCCAACACCCAGTGAACACCCCTGTGTAGAGAGAGAACATACCTTGATATAGACCTACCCAACACCCAGTGTGAGAACACCCCTGTGTAGAGAGAACATACCTTGATATAGACCTACCCAACACCCAGTGAACACCCCTGTGTAGAGAGAACATACCTTGATATAGACCTACCCAACACCCAGTGAACACCCCTGTGTAGAGAGAACATACCTTGATATAGACCTACCCAACACCCAGTGAACACCCCTGTGTAGAGAGAACATACCTTGATATAGACCCACCCAACACCCAGTGAACACCCCTGTGTAGAGAGAACATACCTTGATATAGACCCACCCAACACCCAGTGAACACCCCTGTGTAGAGAGAACATACCTTGATATAGACCTACCCAACACCCAGTGAACACCTATATACATAGTCTACAGCAGATTAACTATCTATTATCTATAGTAGATTAACTATCTATAGTCCATAGCAGATTAACTATCTATAGTCTATAGCAGATTAACTATCTATCATCTATAGCAGATTAACTATCTATCATAGCAGATTAACTATCTATCATCTATAGCAGATTAACTATCTATCTTCTATAGCAGATTAACTATCTATAGTCTATAGCCAATTAACCATCTATAGTCTATAGCAGATTAACTATCTATAGTCTATAGCAGATTAACTATCAATCGTCTATAGCAGATCTATAGCAGATTAACTATCTATAGTCTATAGCAGATTAACTATCTATAGTCTATAGCAGATTAACTATTATCCATAGTCTATCAGATTATAGTCTATAGCAGATTAACTATCTATAGTCTATAGCAGATTAACTATCTATAGTCTATAGCAGATTAACTATCTATAGTCCATAGCAGATTAACTATCTATAGTCCATAGCAGATTAACATTCTATAGTCCATAGCAGATTATGTATCTATAGTCTATAAGAGGTTAAGTATCTATAGTCTATAACAGATTAACTATCTATAGTCTATAGCAGATTAACTATCTATAGTCTATAGCAGATTAACATTCTATAGTCCATAGCAGATTAAGTATCTATAGTCCATAGCAGATTAAGTATCTATAGTCTATAACAGATTAACTATCTATAGTCTATAGCAGATTAAGTATCTATAGTCTATAGCAGATTAACTATCTATAGTCCATAGCAGATTAACTATCTATAGTCCATAGCAGATTAACTATCTATAGTCTATAGCAGATTAACTATCTATAGTCTATAGCAGATTAACTATCTATAGTCTATAGCAGATTAACTATCTATAGTCTATAGCAGATTAACTATCTATAGTCTATAGCAGATTAACTATCTATAGTCTATAGCAGATTAACTATCTATAGTCCATAGCAGATTAACTATCTATAGTCTATAGCAGATCAACTATCTATAGTCTATAACAGATTAACTATCTATAGTCTATAGCAGATTAAGTATCTATAGTCTATAGCAGATTAACTATCTATAGTCTATAGCAGATTAAGTATCTATAGTCTATAGCAGATTAACTATCTATAGTCTATAGCAGATTAAGTATCTATAGTCTATAGCAGATTAAGTATCTATAGTCTATAGCAGATTAACTATCTATAGTCTATAGCAGATTAACTATCTATAGTCTATAGCAGATTAACTGTCCCCATGTGATTAAGCTGAGTAAGAAGTCTCACCCAAGGAGACATTCCAGTGAAGCACAGTAGAATATGATGTACTGATGGCAGGCCTGGTGCTGCACCATGTGGAGCTTGGCCACCTTCATGACACACAGGAACGCCGTTATCACGGCAAGCAGGGTTAACACGCTGTTCCTGTAGGAAATCAAAAACATCTATCATCACACAGGACAGGAACTCCACTATCACCATCTGCAGGATTAACACACTGATTCTGTTGGAAATCATGAATAATTATTGTATCAAGCATACATCAGAAGCCTGTGATCATTACCAACAGGACAAAGCCAGCCATATGTACCAAGCATCTGTTTAAGACATCCTGTCTGGTCAAGGGAGATAACCTGAATCAACATACAGATCTGGGCCCATATTCTCAAAACGTTCGAACCCTTAAGACTTCGTAACTTTGATGTGTTAAGAATAGGTTTAAGAAGTTTGTAGGTCTATGAACGTTTCGAGAATAGCTAGCCTGACCTAGGGACATATTACGGAAGCTGCTGAGCAGGAGACTGGTGAAGGGAAACAATGTGTCATGCAGTACTTACCTGATACAGGTAACAGTCTGGTCAAGGGAAACAATGTGTCATGCAGTACTTACCTGATACAGGTAACAGTCTGGTTGAGGGAGACAATGTGTCATGCAGTACTTACCTGATACAGGTAACAGTCTGGTTGAGGGAGACAACGTGTCATGCAGTACTTACCTGATACAGGTAACAGTCTGGTCGAGGGAGACAATGTGTCATGCAGTACTTACCTGATACAGGTAACAGTCTGGTTGAGGGAGACAATGTGTCATGCAGTACTTACCTGATACAGGTAACAGTCTGGTTGAGGGAGACAACGTGTCATGCAGTACTTACCTGATACAGGTAACAGTCTGGTCAAGGGAAACAATGTGTCATGCAGTACTTACCTGATACAGGTAACAGTCTGGTTGAGGGAGACAACGTGTCATGCAGTACTTACCTGATACAGGCAACAGTCTGGAAGCTGCCAAGACACCCTACGATCATGATGTCTGTAGGGGTGGAGGTGTTGCTCGACTGGTTGCTAGGTGTGGGAGATGCTTGAGACACTGTTGATGCCATGGCTGTTGTGGCCGGGGTGACGTGTTTGGCTGAGTCAGCACTGTATGGTCGAGAACATCCCCGATGAAGACCTTACATGTTGCTCCTGTATCACCTGCAACACAATGCAAGGCTCTGTAACTCACCTGCAGTTAATACTTGTTTGGCTCAAAGAGATTAGCATGTTTTCTAAAGATATGTTTTAGAGAACACTTGACATTTGGTTTAACCAGTCCTGCCATCTGATTGGACAGCCATTTATACTGGTGCTGAGTGATAGCAAAACTAATTGTAATAGTTTGGATATTGGATTTGGACAATTAGATTAAGATTTTTAACAAACCAGGTTGACCTTTTGACAAATTATGGAAGAATAAAATTTCATTAGCTAGAACACCCAGAGATATGTAAAGAAACAAAACATAATGTATTGAACATGGTGAACACTCTTAATGTCTGTACATTAGAACTCAAAATTTCTGAAATGTAAAATATCAAAATTAATACAAATATCGGTATAGACGTACATTATAATGAGTTTTATAAATCATGTAAACATGGTAAACAGTGAAAATGACAATGATCGTTTTCTTACTTTTCATGTAAATTCATCTTAAATAACACATGGCACAAGTTTAGTCTGAAGCAACCATGGCCACTTTCGCCAATGTTGTGCCATATTTATAAATTGCTTCCATTAGCCTGCAGGTTTTACTTTGACCCATAATATATAATGGCACCTCACTGTGTCTAGGGAACTTAATTATGTTTTCAAGCACACTGTATTCTTACATTATTCCATATTTTCCAACAGATCATTATTCTTCACAGCATCAAGAGCAAACAGCTACACTCAATAACCCGCCCCTCCCTCTCAGTCTCATATTGGCACCACAGTCATGAGTCACAATGATACAAGCGGAAACAAACATGGGCGATACATTAATGTCCCTTTGCCATTGAAACATACTATTTGACAAGCACTAACTACCATACATTCGACAACCACACGTCAGAGCAACCATGGCAAAGAAACAACAGTTTTGTAGCACAAACTTTCTGATGCCATAGATGGGTCATTGACTTGACAAGACGAGGTCATTGTACCCCAGGCATTTTAAAAATGCAAAGGTGTACCGCATATTTCTTACGCGCCATAACTTACTTCAACTTGAACAGCAATGTGCAAAATGTCCGTGTGCAGTCGTATCATGCACAACGCACATTTCCGTTGCAAGAACTCATGAAGTAAACACAGGCGGTCTCAGCATCGAAATAATTTTGTTATGGCAGGTGCTCTAAGGGAGAGAACTCTAAATATTAATTAGCGGTAAAGTTACATGAATACCGCTAACAATTTTGTAGAATTTCTATTTGTCAACTTAATTAGTTAATATATGAGAGACAGATATTCGTTTAAATATTAACACGATTACGTTTGGTACAATAAAATATGTTAGATAATATAATCATTCTTGAAAGATAAGCTGAATTGGTATTATTAATATCTTATAACTCCCAGCAATTACGTTATGTTTTTTCAAATATTTATTATTTCTTTGAAAACAATGCTTAAAAGCAAACGGAAGAAAAGAAGTCGGTTGTTATGTACGAGCCAGATAACTTATTTCAATACGAGTATCTTCTGGATCAAGACTTCCATCTTCATATAAACCTAAAACCAATAACCTGAATTAACATTTGACATCCACCAGTTCCTCTTTCCTGATATCAAACAATTAATTACCTGATTACAACAGAGGAATATTGATTTTGAAGCAACACGGAAGACGTTGAACACAGGACAGGAAAATACCCGGAAATACCCGAAAATACCCGAAATAACCCGACAGTAACTACAAACAGTGTTGGACATTGAAGCTTAAAAACAACAAGAACAGCCCCAAACCGAATTATGTCATTTATTTGAACTCCAGACTGTTGTCCGTTGTCAGTGTAAGTGCACATGATGCATTTGGTGCCACGTGTAAGACAAGGACATTGTCTCTCTCCAAACTGAGTAACCACCACGTGTTATCCGACCTGATTCCACAACGTGTCTAAGTATAATACGTACCCCACTGACACTAGCGTAGCCCCAGTTGCAATATGCAGTCATCCCAGTGCACTGTCGGTCTCGCTGCCTGGTTCCATTTGCCATATCCCCGATACAACACGAACAGGGTATATACTGCTGATATTTTACGGCCCTTTCAATTGCATTTGTATTGTAAACGTTTTCTTGGCTGCAGGTTGGTGAAATTTGTGTTTACTCTCATACAGCCCAGGTCACAAATAAGTTGAAGTTCAGCAACGTTGGGTGCGGATAGTTCCTGGATGGGTGACCGTGTTTGGCAGCTTGACTCCTGAGAGTTTCTAGGACTTCGGTCCTGCCCAACAACGAAGCACATGTGATACATGTGGTCTCACCTTAGGCAAGTGAGTTTGTTCAAAATTGCCCCTGTTCACCCAGCAGAAAATGGGTACCCGATGGGACAAGTCATATGACTATATACCTTCTAGCACCTTACAGGCAGCTTGAGGTATCCGGGGTCACAATGTGCACCATGCGCTTTAGAGCATGCCAGGCCAGACGACGAAACAATAGGTGTACCGTCAGATACATCTCCAGGCCAGACGACGAACCTATAGGTGTACCGTCTGATACATCTCCAGGCCAGACGACGAAACAATAGGTGTACCATCAGATACATCTCCAGGCCAGACGACGAAACCAATAGGTGTACCATCAGATACATCTCCAGGCCAGACGACGAAACAATAGGTGTACCATCAAATACATCTCCAGGCCAGACGACGAAACAATAGGTGTACCATCAGATACATCTCCAGGCCAGACGACGAATCAATATGTGTACCGTCAGATACATCTCCAGGCCAGACGACGAAACCATAGGTGTACCATCAGATACATCTCCAGGCCAGACGACGAATCAATAGGTGTACCATCAGATACATCTCCAGGCCAGACGACGAAACCATATGTGTACCATCAGATACATCTCCAGGCCAGACGACGAAACAATAGGTGTACCGTCAGATACATCTCCAGGCCAGACGACGAAGGTGTAGGTGTACCGTCAGATACATCTCCAGGCCAGACGACGAAACAATAGGTGTACCATCAGATACATCTCCAGGCCAGACGACGAAACAATAGGTGTACCATCAGATACATCTCCAGGCCAGACGACGAAACAATAGGTGTACCATCAGATACATCTCCAGGCCAGACGACGAAACAATAGGTGTACCATCAGATACATCTCCAGGCCAGACGACGAATCAATAGGTGTACCGTCAGATACATCTCCAGGCCAGACGACGAATCAATAGGTGTACCGTCAGATACATCTCCAGGCCTGACGACGAAACAATAGGTGTACCATCAGATACATCTCCAGGCCAGACGACGAAACAATAGGTGTACCATCAGATACATCTCCAGGCCAGACGACGAAACAATAGGTGTACCATCAGATACATCTCCAGGCCAGACGACGAAACAATAGGTGTACCATCAGATACATCTCCAGGCCAGACGACGAAACAATAGGTGTACCATCAGATACATCTCCAGGCCAGACGACGAATCAATAGGTGTACCGTCAGATACATCTCCAGGCCAGACGACGAAACAATAGGTGTACCATCAGATACATCTCCAGGCCAGACGACGAATCAATAGGTGTACCGTCAGATACATCTCCAGGCCAGACGACGAAACAATAGGTGCACCATCAGATACATCTTCAGGCCAGACGACGAAACTGTAGGTGTACCGTCAGATACATCTCCAGGCCAGACGACGAAACTGTAGGTGTACCATCAGATACACCCAGATGGCCGGAGGACGAATCTGTATGTGTACTGTCAGATACACCTGAGGTCCCACACGAATGTTGTCACCTTGAACGACGAAATCACCTTGATCTTGCCTGAGCAAGAGTTGTATGACGCTCTTTGAAATATGAAATCACCAAAGGCTAGAGTCATAGGGATGCCTTTTCCTTGTTTTACCCCATAATTTTACATAGATGTAATCAATGATGAAGTCCAGTCACATATTTGCTTACACAGGTGACATTTGCTTTCATTTTTTACAAATTGTAAGAAAATATCGAACAGTCGTTATAGAAACAGTCGTTATAGCAACAGTCGTAGATGCTTGGTTACTGCTGTTTCTGGAGAATCGTTCTTACATTTACATGTTTGGTGACGGCTTAACGCTTGAAAATAGCACAGTAGATAAAGCGTTAGCTCGCTATGAATTTTACCATTGGTTTACAGGTTGTGATATATGCAATAGAAATAGCGAACTGAAATAAGTGACTTTACAACAGGTGGACTCAATATTGATAACAGTTTGTAATAACTGCTGAAGGTTGGATCAAGTTTGTGTTGAAAATGGGAACAAAACCGATTTAGCCATTTTAGTGTCGTTTTAGGCTTCAGTAGCCCAAATACGCTGTGTTAAAAGAAAAAAGCATTACTGTGTTACCTTGAGGTACGACTGGACCAGTCATCCAGGGCGCTGCGCAGAGTTGCCTCCCTTAAGTACACTAGAGTACAATGGCTGTGGGATCGAAACCAGTGGTCACGATAAACGTCTGAGACCCGCGTCAGTTCCGGCTTTCCTCGAACATGAAGCTTTCACGCCGTGATATAACTCGAACACAGTTATAAGCGGCACTAAACAAAACTCACTCACTAACTCTATTACCCGATAAAAGTATGTCTTGTTTTTCCGTAACCGGTCGGCCAGAAATCGCGATTTCCTACTATGTCCTCTCCTGTTAAAAAGCTACCGAATCATGAAAATATTCCTGTAAAATATGTTCTGGAAATACGTGTGTGCTGCCCTTAAAAACATACGTGTCAGAGACATTTCTGGTTATGTACAGGACACAGCAGGTGAAGTGTCGGCATGTGAAGTGTTTCCGGTTTACCAACATAGACAGACAGACAGATATAGTTTAATAAAGTGTCACGTGAACGATTACATGAAATAAAATACACAATAGAATCAATAAAATTCACCCAGCCGATAAGGCTTATGAGACACTAAATACTATTTAAAAACTATGTACATTTCGTTTTAACATTTGGCTGCAGCACAGCCGAGACCATCAAGTGATATCTGGTGTCACGTTCTTACGGGCTGACTGACAACTCTTTCTACCTAATATAAATGAAATATATGAGTTCTCAAGTCAGCCCGTAAGATTATATCTGATCCAGATCATCCCATCCACTATGAATATAAATTACTGCCTTCTAGGCGCCATTATAATTTACCCCGTTTTAAATCCAATCGTGGCATGAAATCCTTTGTTCCTGCCAGTATTAATCTTTTAAATGATTCCTAGTGTTTGTCTTACCTTGTTAGCGTGTTATATGTCTGTTATTTATTGTATGAAAACAATTTAATAATTTCATCAATGTTTGAGCGCTGTACTTTACACAAGAATTCCCTCACGGGTAATACAGTATTGTCATTTGTCATTTCAGACTTTAAATGTGAGTGAGTGAGTGAGTGTGGTCTTACTCCGTTGGGAGTATTAAGCTAGCAATATCACTCCGTCCGACACCCGACATGGGCTTCACTCATTGTACCCATGTAGGGAATCGAATACGGGTCGGCGTGACCACATATCTGAAGAAACTAGTTCGTACCGAATCCAGTTAAAGGTGGGCAGTGTGTGGTATTGCCGGGATATTGCTAAAAGTGGCGTAAAACCATACTCACTCATACTGTTATGGGGGATGACGTATTGCCGAAGGGATTTCTACTCTCTCACTTTCTGATACCAAATGGAAACTCGAGGTAGGGGAATTTACCCCGACTTATTAACCACTGTGTCTAATTGTTCGAGTTCACAGACTTAAAACTTTGTTTGATATAGATTATTGTATTAGCACAAGAGGCAATATCAATCCCTATAAAATACTTTATGCAATGCATAATTAGGCTGATAGTTAATGTGTGAAGCCCATTTCTGGTGTCCCCCGCCGTGATATTACTGGAATATTGCTAAAAGCGGCGTAAAACCATACTCGCTCACTCACTCACTCACTCCTCACAAAACCATGACACAAAATGAATATTTCTCCAACGCTTTTTAATTTATCTCCCCCAAGATAAAGTTGAAACTCGTAGGAGAGAATCTCCATATGTACTCTTGTACGCTGCTGAACTTCACCCCTTTACATATATATTTGCTATTGTAATGATTGACATCGTGATTGTCAGCACCATATATACATGACAGTGGTA